CCCGCCACTCAGACAATGCTCACGACCTTGGCAGGAAATGGCCCTCGGCGGGAGCGAGGCTGAGGAAGGCCTCAGGAGGAGTGGGGAGAGGCAGGGAGACAGTCACTGCGGTGCGGGAAGTAGGTGCAGAGCCGAGGTGGAAGTTTCCAGAAGAGGGATAGAAGGCCTAGCCACAGGAAAGGAGGCACTGAGGGAGACGGTGAGGGGAGAGGAGCCACCCCCCGACCCCAGGAATCCCCATGTAGATAGGATTTCACCTGTCAGTGACTGAACATGCATGCACACAGCTCGACCAAGGCACACAGAGCTGAGGAAACACAGGCAGACACACACCTCACATATATACACACATACACACACACACACACACACTCTCTCTCTCTCCTTCTCTCTCTTTCTCTCAAAGAGCAACGGGAAGAATATCCTCAGGTAACGAAAATAACAAAACCAAAGGTAAATGCCCAACACCTCACCCCCACCCCCCACCAGGCCTTCTTTCTCCATTTCACAGCAGCTCTGTGAGGTGAGATGCTCAGGTCCCCTTCCCTCCCCCCCACTTCAGGGGCTGGCCCCAGGCTCTGATCAAGGAGCGGACGGTGTGTTCCACCACTAAGCCGATGGAGAAAGACCGAGGGGCTGTGGGCACGCTTGGTAACCTCCCCAACACCACACACAAGCCCTGCAGTTATAGACGCCCTCGCTCAGAACCTCAGCGGTGAGCCGATAAGCAAGCAGTTTCTAGGGACCCAACCCCCACCTCTCCCCGTGGGTCTGTGGCCCGTGCTATGACTCCTCCATTTACGTTTGTTCCTGGGATGATTCCACCGATGCTGGTTTCTCCCAGCTCTGGACAACAGCTCCAACAGGCCGGCCCGGAGTCCGCTGGGCTCACTGCTCCCCAGGCAGGCACGTGGGGAGCTCAGCACACTGTGGAGTGAGGGAGGGAGTAAACCTGGGAGAGCAGAGCCACCTGCTTCCATGTCCTGAAGTGAAAGTCCCGAATGGTAAAAAAGTGAAAACGGCCCTGGTTGCAGGCACATCTCCAGTAGGGGGTGTGCAGGAGGCAGCTGATCGATGTTTCCCTCTCATCAATGTTTCTAACTCTCTATCCCTCTCCCTTCCCCTCTGGAAAAATCAATATATTAAAAAAAAAAAAGTGAAAATGGGCAGATTTCATTGTGTGTGTGTGTGTGTGTGCATGTGTGTGGTGGGGGGTGGGAATCTGGTAATGCCCAAGGACAAGAACTTAAAGCTGAGTTGAGGTCTGAGGAATGGATTCCCCAGGAAAATGGGGGCGGGAAAGAAGGACACCCAGGCAGAGGGAGCAGTGCATGTTGGGGGAGGGGCTCTGTGGAGAGGCCGGGGGCTTGTCTGCAGGCGCTGCCATAAATAACCTGGCACACAGCTGCCCGTCGGCCACTGCGCTGGTTCTGAGAACTCGGAGCTCTGGAGGCCCAAAGGGGAGCCGCTGCGCCCGGAGGCTCTGAGGCAAGGTCAGTGCGAATGCAGGTGGTGCTGAACACGGATCTGTGTTTTCTTAGCAGCCAGCAGTCGGCTGGCTTCTGGTCCGATGGGTTTCCTGCCACCACAGCCGTCTCCCCGGGTCTGTGTGGGAAACAGCACGGAGAAGCAAGGCCTGGGAGGGAGCGGGTGCGACTGCCGGGGAGGTGACTGTGTCCGTGTGTGTGTGTGTGCATACACAATGTGTGTGCATGTGTGGGGATGCACATGTGTCATGTCTGCGTGCATATGTGCATGTGGGGGAGGGATGTATATACGTCATGCCCGTGTGTGTGCAAGTGGGGTGTATACACGTGCCATGTCTGTATGTACGTGTGTGTGCATGCAGGTGTGTATACACAGGGGTCGTGCCTGTGCATGCATGTGTGTGCAATGTGTGTGTGCATGATGAGGTGTGTACACGTGTGCCGTGCCTGTGTGTGCACACATGTGGGTGCATGCATGTGTGCACGCGAAGACTGCACGCGCCCTCCCTCACTGCCAAGCTCGACCCCATGTGCCGTCTAACTGCAGGTTCTCTGCGAGGGAAGAGCTGGTGAGCCTCAGGTGCCCTCACTTGTCTGCCCTGCAGGGGCCTCAGCTGTGTTCGCCGGCTCTGAGAGAGTCATGCCGCGCAAGCATGACTAAAGCTCCCGGGAGGACACGACAGGAGGACAGGAGGCACCCGCCTTGCGGTGTCACAGTGCCCACAGGGACCCTTCAGCAGCGCCCGAGGCCAGGGCGCGACAGAGTGCACGTTCCAGCCTTCACAGCTTCACCGCAGAGCTGATGCTCCCGACAGAACGGCCTGACCCAAAGGCTCTCACCTGTGAGAGGACAGCCGCAGGCCAGCCAGTGCGTCTGTTTGCAAAGCACCTGGATCCTGGAGCAGCCGCAGCCGCCATCTGGGCTCAGTCAGGGCAGGGCAGCCTGCAGCTGCAGCCCGGGTGAGCTCTGGAGCCCGCCATGTCCTTTTCAGAGGCACATCCCGGGGCCAGGAGCTGGAGCTGGGGGCCTGGGAGTGTGCGGGCAAGGCTGGGGGCTCCTTGTAAAATGTCAATGCTGAGAAGCACCGTCCCTGGGCTGACAGGAGCCAGCTCATCCCAGGAGCTGGGAGAGGGGCCCTGAGGGACAGCAGGGGAGGAGAGGAATGTGGGGTGAAGGGGTTAGGTCCCCCCTCCATAATATAAGCGGAGCCTCTTTAAAAATGGAAGAACTGCCTTGCACGTATTGGGCCCCGAACCTCTGGGATATTAAAATGGAGCAAAATAACCTTTGCACAGGGCTTAAGCTCCTGTCCCAGAGAGCTGTGTGCAAAGATGACAACACAACAGATATTATGACCCAGGGGCTGATGGCTACAGGGCTAAGGCTTAAAAGTGTCTGGAATTAGGGTCACCCCACCAGCTTGGCTCAGTGGCTAAGCATCGACCTATGAACCAGGAGGTCAGGGTTCGATTCCCAGTCAGGACACAGGCCGGACTGTGGGCTTCATCCCCAGTGGGGGGCGTGCAGGAAGCAGCCAACCCATGATTCTCTCTCATCTCATCTGATGTTTCTATCTCTCCCTCTCCCTTCCTCTCTAAAATCAATAAAATTGAATTTATTTTAAAAACACACTACCGTGTTTCCCCGAAAATAAGACATCCTCCAAAAGTAAGACCTATCTACAGGTTTCCGAGTGAAATATAAGGCATCCCCCCGAAAATAAGGCCCCCCTAGGCTCTGTCTTAAAATGCTATTGCTAAACATGAGAGATTTGGTCCACTGATTCTGAAAGAAATGGAGTCACAAGAAATTCAACAGGAAATCCAGGAATTGGATTGTTATGATGATGTTCCAGAAGATGAAGACATGATTGTCATTGAATAAATGAGTAAATTCTTGATACTATAGGATTAAGTTTGTCTGGTTTGTGTTGACAACTACCGTACTACCGTATCGTATGCAGGTAATAAATTTCCTTTATTTTCATTTAACAATAAATGTGTACCGCATTCTTCTTCATGGAAAAATAAGACATCCCCTGAAAATAAGACCTAGTGCATCTTTGGGAGCAAAAGTTAATATAAGACACCGTCTTATTTTCGGGGAAACAGGGTAGCATCACTGTCAGCTGATCTGCACCTGCAGAAACACCTTCCTCCGATAGATGTTGTTAACAAAAAACAACCACTGAAACCTGTAAAGAATTTTTGTGAGTTTATCTGAGCCAAACTGTCGACATATGTCGGGAAGCAGAACCTCATCAGATTGAGATAATGCTCCGGGGAATGGCGGGTTACATTTCTATATTTATACATTGCAATCAAAGGAAAGGGATGTAGGTGGGTTACATGAAATTTATTGGTGATAGATTAGGGAGGTGGGACAAAGCAAAGCAGGGAAACCTCTGGGATAGGGTAAAAAGTAAAATGATGGACACATACTTAGGTGGGTACAGGAACAATCAACATGATAATGAGGGAATTTGAGGCATCCGTCCTGGCACCCAACATATTTGGTTGTGCCCCAAGGGCTCCAGAAAAAAAGAGAAGTTACAAGTTACCCCGACATCTCACAGATATGTTATCTTAGAGGTAGAAAGGCAAATAGGCTCCGTAAAGAAGATCTAAGTTGATCTTTGTCAGAGAAAATACCGGCCTAGGACATGACTACCCACTATAACCTGTTTATAGTTAAATATTTAATTTTCAAACCATCTTTTGTGGTTAGTTTAGGTCTCTGAGTTTGCAAGGCCGCCACACAGGTCTCCCCTGAGCCTGTCAGGTCAGCATGTGGCTCCTTCCGTCCACAATGTGCTCGTCCCCTTCCCTTCTCACGGAGCCCCTGACTTTGTCACTGAGCGGCCACTGAATCCGTGTTTCCCAAATGCTGTTCTTTGATCTCATATACATGCTGGTCCTCCTCCGCTGTGAAAGGTCTTTCATTTGTTAAATATATTCTTATTGATCTCAGAGAGGAAGGGAGAGGGAGAGGGAGAGACAGCAGCATCAGGGAGCACTGACTGGCTGCCTCCTGCACGCCCCTCCTGAGGACGGAGCCTGCACCCCGGGGTCAAACCCGTTATCTACATGACCCCCTGGTTCACGGGTCCCCGCTCCGCCACTGAACACAGGGAGGGGAGGTCTTTCCAGGACAACCCCGGGCGGAGTGATGGCCAGGAAGGACCGCTGCGGTCCTTCTCCGCAAAGGCCGGGCGGAAGGCGGGGCTCACTCCTCAACCACACGGGGTCCCGGGCCGGGCCCGCCATCACTGCGCTCAGCCCCCCGGTGCCTCGCCGGCCTGCTGCGCGGGGTGCAGCCCGGCCCAGGGCCCAGGCGCGGAGCCCCTCTGGCCACTCCACACGCCTAAGGCCCGGGCCGGGGCCGCAGGGAGGCGCCCTCACCAGCATGGCCGCGCCTCTGAAACGCGGCGGCGCAGGGCAGCATCGGAAGTGACGTCACAAACGCGGCGGCGCCTTCCGCTCCGGGAAGCGCCAGGTTTGTCGGGTCACGTGGCTGTTGGCCCCGGGCTGTGATTGGCCGGTCCTCTGGTGACGTCAGACGTCCCCGCGCGCGCCGAGGGCTGGAGAGTGGCCGCGGCGCTGGGGAGCGTTAGGCGGCAGCGACGGGCTCGGCGGCCGCGCCTCCCACACTCATGAGGAGCCGGAAGGTGAGGCCGGGCCGGGCCGGGCGGAGCGGGGCCGGGCAGGCGGGGCCGAGGCGAGGGCGCCGCCGCCGGGTGCTGGGGAGCTGAGGGGGGACGGACGCCTTGGGCCAAGGGGCGATCTCTGCTTGGGCCTGGCCCTCCCTGAGCTCCCGGGCCACGCGCCCTGCGGGGGCTCCCAGGCCACGCCTCCCGGAGGGTGCTCCCAGGCCACTCCTCCCGGAGGGTGCTCCCAGGCCACGCCTCCCGGAGGGGGGCTCCCAGGCCACTCCTCCCGGAGGGGTGCTCCCAGGCCACGCCTCCCGGAGGGGGGCTCCCAGGCCACTCCCTCCGGAGGGGTGCTCCCAGGCCACTCCTCCCGGAGGGTGCTCCCAGGCCACTCCTCCCGGAGGGGGGCTCCCAGGCCACTCCCTCCGGAGGGGTGCTCCCAGGCCACTCCTCCCGGAGGGGTGCTCCCAGGCCACTCCTCCCGGAGGGTGCTCCCAGGCCACTCCTCCCGGAGGGATGCTCCCAGGCCACTCCCTCCGGAGGGGTGCTCCCAGGCCACTCCTCCCGGAGGGGTGTTCTCAGGTCACGCCTCCCGGAGGGGGGCTCCCAGGCCACGCACCCTGCGGGGGCTCCCAGGCCACTCCCTCCGGAGGGGTGCTCCCAGGCCACGCCTCCCGGAGGGGGGCTCCCAGGCCACGCCTCCCGGAGGGTGCTCCCAGGCCACTCCTCCCGGAGGGGTGTTCCCAGGCCACGCCTACCGGAGGGGTGCTCCCAGGCCACTCCCTCCGGAGGGGTGCTCCCAGGCCACGCCTCCCGGAGGGGGGCTCCCAGGCCACGCCTCCCGGAGGGGGCTCCCAGGCCACGCCTCCCGGAGGGGGGCTCCCAGGCCACGCCTCCAGGAGGGGGCTCCCAGGCCACTCCTCCCGGAGGGGTGCTCCCAGGCCACGCCTCCCGGAGGGGTGCTCCCAGGCCTCCAGGACGGGGACCTGCGGGCTCCATCCCGGAATGGGGACCCGGGCTCCCTCCCCGGAACTGGTCTGGACCCCGGCGTTTCCAGCGCTGCCAGGCCAGGGGTCCCTGTTTTCCTGTTGCCACGACCAAGCCTGGGTGACCTGCAGCTTGGCCCCACTATCCTATGTGAATCGGGGTGACGTGAAATCCACCCCGAGAAGGTGAGGATTGCCGATGTCCGTCCCTGGCACTGGGTGACCGTGCGGTGTGTGGACGGAGGAGAGGGCCTGGGACACAAGCCACCCCTGGCCCGGGGGGACCCCACTGGGGGGGCCTCCAGCGGAGGGGACGTGCACCCGGGCACTCCGGGTTTGCTCAGAACGAATCCCAACTCCTTCCTCCCCCCACCCCCCCAGCGGCGTGGACCCTGAGGGGCCCTGCAGACGGCGGGTAGGTGGTACGTGGGCAGGGCGGTGGTCCCCAGGCCCACTGTCCGCTCCTGGTTCAGCTGGGCAGCGCGTGCACATGCGATGCTGCTGGTGCACTTGGCCGCACTCGCCTGTGCCATTTCGCTTTCCTCTCGTTATGTGGCCTGTTTTGTTCTGTTCCTCATTTAAATGGGTTAAAGTGAAGGTTTTTTATTAAAATTTTTAAAAATGTTTTTATTGATGTCAGAGAGGAAGGGAGAGAGAGAGATAGAAACATCAATGATGAGAGAGGATCATATCAGCTGCCTCTGCGCGCGCGCGCGCGCACACACACACACACACACACACATACAGACACACACACACACACACACACACACACCCCTCGAGCCCACCGCCCCCATGTGCCCTGACCGGAATGGAAGCGGGACGTCCTGGTTCCGAGTTGACAGGCAACCTCAGAGCTGCACCAGCCGGGCAGAGTGAACGTTTTTAATATAACTAATGATTTTCCCCTGGTTTAAAAAGCTTGTCTTCCATAACAGCAGAACTCGCGTGGGATTTGTACCAGCTTCATTCCAAACATACAGAAGTGTTTGTTCTGTATGGCTGTTTCTTTACTCGCTTTCGTGGTGTGTTGTTGGGAATATCACATTTCTTGTCACAAACGCAGAGCACGATGTCTGCCTGCTTTTCCATCTGGAGCCATTTTCTTAGCCCTGCACAGCCTTGCTCCCACTCACCTCCTTTATGCTGTTACTGCACACTGGTGACCCGGTGCATGAAATCCGTGCACATTAAAAGGGAATTCATTAGAGGGAATATTTTAATATTGCTATTTGCCCTTTCTCTAGAATAGAAGTGTCAGAGATGAAAGGAAATTAGTAAAATGTATATTAAAATCTTCCTCCAGTCAGAGTCTCGGGCGCACCACAGGACCCAGAGTTAAGTCCCTGCCCACCCACGTGCTCCTCAAAATCGAGAGAGACCCAGGCCTGGCCGGCTCCACCCCCATTGGGCGAGATCCAGACCCTGCTAGCCCCACTCCCATCAAGCCCTGCTGGGCAAGGGGCATGGCCTGCGGTCCCCCATCAAGCTCCGCTGTGCAGGGGGCGAGGCCTGAGGTCCCTGGCCTAGCCCAGCACCACGCAGCCTTAGGTCCTTGCTGATGGCTCATGAAGGCTCGTTACGGGAACTGGTCCTCTGTTGTGGGCACAGCCATCTTGTTATGGTGGACAGCCATTTGCATGTTCCCGCTTTACTAGAGAGGCTAGCACATTTCTGTGTACATTGTGTGCATGTTATTGTGTGTGATTGCTGTTTCAATCAGGTCAGAGAAGGACGGGATACGTGTGCGGTTACTGCCTTGTTTCCCTTTGATTGGATTGCCATCGGGAAGCTTCCTCAGCCCGAAGGGGTTGGTGTAGTGTTGCCTGTGCGGAGGGGGTGCTGGCAGCAGGCTCTTTCAGTGCTTGTTATCCGAAAGTGTCTATTTTGCCTTCATTTTGGAAGAATGGCTTTGCTGGGTTATAGGACTCTTGGTTGACAGCGTTTTTTTCTGAGAACTTTGAATACATTTGAATGTACCCCACTGTGCTGTGGCCTCCCGGGTGCCTGCTGACACGTCAGCAGCTTGTTCCCTTGGAAGCCAGGAGTCATTTCCTCTTGCTGCTCTCCTCCTTGTCTCTGACACTCACCTTTCTCACAGGGATGTGCGTGTGGCCCTCTGTACCCTTGCCTGACGTAGAACTCGGTTCCTGGAGACGCCTGAGTGGAGGTGGTGATTCCCAGCCCTGTGAGGCGTGGTCAGCCATCCTTTGACTAGCTTCCGTCCCTCTCTGTCCTTCCTGGGACGCCCATTACACGTATGTTGTATAAACAATGTTTCTCTAAGATTCTTCATTCTTTTTCCTCTCAAGGTTGCATGTCTGTCAGTCTGTCGTCTTAATTCTGTTCTGCCAATTCATACCCACTGTTGGACCTCTGGCATACTTTTCAGCCACAGAACTTCCATTTGGTTCATTTTTATAATTTCTACCTTTTTATTGATACTTTGTATTTGATGCAACATATCGAATCTTTACTTTTTAAATCATGGTTTCTTCTATCTTTTTCACATGTTTATAATGGCTACTTTGAGCCTTTTTCTGATAAATGCAAGATCTGGTCACTCACAGGCAGTGTTGTCTGCTTTTATTCCAAGGCCAGGATCTGCTTTCTTGTTTCCTTGCATGCTTCATACTTTTTCTGTTGAAGCCGGATATTTTAGATAACATGTTGTGGCTGTTCTGGGTGCTGATCTCCCAGCTCACTGCTGTTAGTGAGCTGTTCGTTCAGTGACTCGGTGGGTGGTTCTAGTAGAGTCTGCTTTCCCCCTCCCCCAGAGGAGCACTGGGACACCCACAGTCACCCCAGGAGGCCCGCTTCTTCCCCCGCCACACTCAGCTGGTAACCCGGCCGATTGCTCCGTGGTTCTCAGCGGGGACTGGGCATGCATTGCTCCACAGACTCCTCTCAGAGGGGATGGTTTCTGAGCCACTGTCTGATGTCTGTTCCGGCCCCAGGGGCTCTTCCAGCTGCTGCTCCCACCCCACCCCCTGCCAGGAGCTGCTCAGGACCCCGCTGCCCGGGAGCCCCAGGCTGGGCTGACCACTGCCCTGAGGTCACTCCTCTGGGGAGCGGTGAAGAGCTGTGCCAGGCACCGCGCTGAGCCAGGCTTGTTGGCACGGACAGGCCTGAGGCCGGAGATGAGGGCTCAGCTCAGGGAGGGCGTGGCAGCAACCCTGAGCCCTCAGGAGCCTGGCGGGATGGATGAGATGCCCTGGAGCAGTTTCTAAACTCCCTTCTTCCTTCTTGATCTCTTTTCCTCGGAGTGTGTGGCCTTCCATCTGTCCCGTGGGCTCCCGGGGCAGCTTTCCAGCCTGCCATCCAGTGTCCCTGGGTTGCCCCCTTCTCTTATCACTCACGCCCATCAGCTCCCAAGCCAGGAAAGGATTCACAGGAAGAGCCGTGCACCTCCAGGGAGGCCAGGCTGCAGAGACAGTGTGACGGCAGTCAGGGCGGCTGAGGGCAGCGCACAGGAACTCCCTGTACCTACACCCGCTCAGTACAATTCTTTCAGCTGTTCCTTTTAATTAACTTCTCCTTATCAGAAGACATCTTTAGCATTCAGAGTAAATGGGCGTGGACCCGTTTCTTACTGTCGAGGGGTTCGGGTCCAGGTGGGGTTTGTTCATGTCCCCTCTCACCCAGAACTGGCACCACAGGGAAGGACTTTCTGAGGGAGAATGTGTGCGCTGCGGAACAGTTACTAAAGACAGGTTCCTAGAGGGTGTTAGGGACTAACCACCCCAAGTTCCCAAGACAGTGGAAGAGGAGGTCTTGCATCTTAAACCCAGAATCGTTTGGATTCGCACACTGAGGCCACCAGTGTCCGTCCATAGCGACGGGATGTGGGGGGACCATGGCCAGTGTCCTTCCATAGCGACGGGATGTGGGGGGACCATGGCCAGTGTCCTTCCATAGCGACGGGATGTGGGGGGACCATGGCCAGTGTCCTTCCATAGCGATGGGAAGTGGGGGGACCATGGCCGGTGTCCTTCCATAGCGACGGGAAGTGGGGGGACCATGGCCAGTGTCCTTCCATAGCGACGGGATGTGGGGGGACCGTGGCCAGTGTCCTTCCATAGCGACGGGATGTGGGGGGACCATGGCCGGTGTCCTTCCATAGCGATGGGAAGTGGGGGGCCGTGCTCAGTGCCACCCTGGTTAGGAAGCCCCTCCGCGCCCACATTGCGGGGCACAGCCTCTGACAGCCGTGCCGCCTCCAGCTCACAGGGGCAGTGCGGTCTTCAGAGCGTCTGCGAGCCCGGAGCTGCTCCACCAGGCTGACCTCTGCCCGGGAAGTCAGGGCCGCCGCGTCCGGCAGGACAGTGTGCCAGGTGAGCCTCTGCCAGGCAGACACGGGTCAGGGCTCCGTGTCCGGTCTATACGGCGTGCGTTCTGAGGGTGCTGATTGGGAACCGGGGCAGGAGGTGGGGTCCAGGGAGTCAGCAGGCCTGTCTCAGGCCCTTTTGTCTTTGATGCAGCCTTTTTTTTTCCATCCTCACCAAGGAGTGAGGATTTTTTCCCGTTGGTTTCAGAGGAGGGGGCGGGGGAGAAACAGAAACACCGATGTGACACACATTGGCTTGTTGCCTCCTGCACACACCCAGTGGGGAGGGAAACGGGGATCAGTACTTGCTCTTGACCAAAAATTGAACTGGCAACTCTCCGGTGCGTAGGCTGAGGCTCTAACCACTGAGCACGCCGACCAGGGCTCAGTGCAGCCTTTTGAGTGATAGTGGCATAGTGTCCTTCTATGGACAGAGTGGGCTGGGGGACGGACCCACCGTGTCTGCGTGTCTGCATTCTGTGCAGTGCGGCAGCAGTGGCTGGGACTCGGTGTGACAGCAGCACCCGCAGTCTCGCTGCTCCATGGCTCCTGGAAGCCGGGCTAAGACACGTGTGAGCCTGCAGAGCACCTCCCCGTCCCTGCCCTCAGCGGCTCGCCCTCCAGCAGGAAGGGGAAGGCTGCGGTCTGTCCGCACGGGCTTCTGAGCTTGCTCAGCGGTGGGCAGCCTGGAGCACGTGTGGGGGCGGGCTGCGGTCCTGGGCTCTTCCCGGCTGTCCCTTGGGTGGCAGCAGTGGCCTGGGCCGTGCCCAGCCGTAGAAGCAGGATGTCACGTCCAGGGTGAGGTGTGAGGAAGGGGCCTCGGGGCTGGGACGTGTGTTTGCTGTCCGCTTCATAATCCTAGACGGGCCTGCTTTCCCGGCATTTGTTCCTCGACAGACTTCCTCCCACAAAGCCACGGACAGGCGGACTTCCAAGAAGTTCAAGTGTGACAGAGGCCAACTTGTGAAGTCGGAATTACAGAAACTGGTGCCTAAGAGCGAGAGTGGGAGTGCGGCCCTGCCCCAGGCGCCGCCGGAAAGCCCCGGCGGGAATGAGCCCCCAGCGCCAGCTAGGGAGGAGGACGGCCCGGCGCCCCCGGGGGAGGAAGCCGGCATCGCTGCTCCGCGGGGGAGCGCGGGCCTTCCCTTCGGGCACGGCCGAGTCGTGAGTGACACGTGCTCAGCAAGGACCGCGGACGGCCCGCCCCGCGCCCTCCCCGGAGGGGAGCCGGACAGCAGCTCGGCCGCGGGCGGCTCCGTGCTGCAGATGGACGGCAGCGCCTTCCTGGACGACGACAGCAACCAGCCCATGCCCGTGAGCCGGTTCTTCGGGAACGTGGAGCTCATGCAGGTGAGTGGGCGCCGTCTCCCCTCGGGGGGCCCCAGGGGTGCATGTGAGGACTGCCTCAGCCCAACAGCAGGTGCACCGTCACCTTTCAACCTGGAGATGAAGGGCAGTTCCTCACTGGGCACGCCCACCTGGCCCTCCACCGAGAGCCAGGCTGCTGGGTGGTGTCCCCGCAGGGCCTGTGCCCCGGGCTGGTTTCCCGCCTTGCCTCCACGTGGACTTAGTGGTCCCACTGTCTGCAGGGGGGCTGCGCTGTGGCCCACGCCGGCGCTGAGGCAGAGGGAGGGGTGACTGACGAGGGCGTGTTCTCTTCCCCCAAGGACCTCCCACCAGCGTCTGCGTCCTGTCCCTCAGTGAGCAGACGGGAGTTCAGGAAGATGCATTTCAGAGCCAAAGACGACGACGAGGAGGAGGACGCGGAAATGTAGGAATAAAGTTCACACGGTGACTGCCTTGCATGTTCAGTGCGCTGACAGGTGACAGGCGAGGTTATGGGACTTAGGAAGTGACCCTCGGGAGAGTGTCCTTAAGCAGACTCCCGGGGGCTCCGCTGGGGCCGGGCCGTCCTTGCTGGGGAAGCTGCTGCTGCTGCTGCTCGCACCAGGCGTCTGGTCCCCGTCGGACAGGTGGGAGGTGGTTGGAGGCAGCCGCAGGCTGGGTAAAGGGGGGATGTTTGTGAAGGAGACGCCCCGGGAGTTGTAAGCCCTTCACGGGCTGACTCGGACAGTTCCGAGAACTCTCTGTGAGGCTGGACTTGACCTTGGACGTTCTGCAAGAGGCACAGGGGAAAATAAAATATATTTTGAAAATATTTTAAAGAAGCCTGTGTCCTTGATACTACTCCTTTCTGAAGTGTTTGGGACAGTGAGTCCTGTCCTGCCTGGCCCCGAAGGCCGGGTCAGCCTCCTCACCTAGCCAGCAGCCCAACCAGAGGCCAGGCTCCTGGGTGAGCAGCACGCTTCTCACCTGTGGTGGGCAGCTGCCATCTTGTGGTTTTTAGGATCTACATCCTGGGCTCCTGCTCACAGCTCTGCAAACCCTGCAGCTTCCTCGCTGCTGGCGTGTTGTCAGTTAACCAGGTGGCTTTGGGACCCTACAGGTGGGAGGGGCCTCCGGGAGAGGAGAGTCTGGAGGCTGGATCTGTCCCCAGGGGCCAGGGGCGTGGCCGGTCGGGGCTGTGATGAAGCCACAGTGAAACCGGAGGGCCGCCAGCTCGTCGGTCTTTCCTTGGAGACCCTCCTGTGGGCGGTGAACACAGAGATGGTGAGCCTGGCAGGGCCGGAAGCTCCCCTGGATCCCGCCTGCAGGGTCTGAGCTGGCCTCCGTGGAATCACGTGTTACCAGGCACAGCTGCCCCACCACCACCACATGAGCATCTTGTGTTGCGTTCTTGCCAGAGGAAGGAAACGCTCTAAGACTGGTCTTTGCAAAGTGATACAGTCACACAGGAGCCCGCTGTGGTGGGGACACAGCCCTGGGTGTCCAGCGCCAGGCAGGTGGCAGGGTCACTCGTGCTGTGTCGCAGGAGAGGCCATCCGATCACCTCTCCTAAGACCGCCTGCCGCCAAGGAGGCTGCTCACTCCGACAGGAAACGCCTCTGTGGCTGGAAATGGAACCGCCACCCCCCAACCCGACCTTCCCTCCACGCACAGGCCAGGGGGAAGCAGGCGCCCTGTCCGCACTGCCCAGGCAGCGGAGCTCCGGTGAGATGCGATTGCTCCTGCCCCACAGGCCTGGCCCAGCCCGGCTGCTCCACGCATATTCCAGTGAGGAGAGGGGACGACTTGGGTCAGGTTTTTTAAAATCACTGGCCCCTTTTTATCCTCATTTCCGTCACTGTCAGTGAGTGCAAACGCTTCTGACGTGTCTATTTGAAAAACCTTTATTGCTTTTCCTGGTTCTATAACAAGTGTAAAAATTCAAATGTTACAAAAGGTAAAAAACTAAATTTTTAAAATTCTGAAATAAATGCTCATTTTAAAAATTCAAGTATAGTTGTTTCTCGGTCCCCGCGGGAGACTGGCCCAGGAGCCCCCACCCCAATACCAAAAACCTGAAGATGCTCAGGCCCTGATATAAAATGAGGAAGACGGCCCTCCACATCCGGGGATTCCAACTGCGGCGCGAAGCTATGAGGGCCGACTGTTGTCAAACACGCTTAGAACATGAGTCCTCTGTAACCGTCGCACCCACGCTGTCCCCAGGATTACAGCTGTGCAGACGAGCTGCCTCACACCAGCACGTGTGTCACACTCATGGCCTTAGCGTAGGCCACTCGCCGTGATTTAACAGGCAGCTCCGTGTCACACACCTGCGCTGCTGCACAGTGTGGCCTCGGTATGCGGCAGGTTGAACCGTGAGATCAGCAATACCCGACTGCTAGCCTAGAAGCCAGGGATCTGGGCTGAGTGCAGTGCCACGATCACCACACCCCCAACAGGCGTGGAGGCCGCTTCAGGCCGTAATGGCACAGCAGCAAGCACCCCTATGCTGCTTGTGGGTGTGAGCATTTCACCCCGAAAAGGTCAGGATCCCGGCATTTGGAAGAATCCAGAGGACGGAGCTTCGGTCTGGGGAATGGAGACCCGGCAGAGCTGTCCCTCAGGCAAAGGGTGGCGGCTTCGGCCATGACGCCATTCAGCGTGGCAGCTGTGCCACCAAGCAAGCAGGGTGGGTAAAGTCCAAGTACTCCGGTCCCTGACCTGCTGACCAGGCCCTAGGCCCTGGTGTCCACAGCTCGCAGGCGCAGGATACGCGAGCTGAAACGTGCTGAGACCAGAAGTCTGCAGGGAGCCTGTGAACGTGTTTTCCAGAAGCTGTCGCAGTGGCAAAAACAGCACCCGTTAAAATTGCGCCCGCACCAGGCCGCGGCCCGCGTCACGGGCGCTTGCGCACAGCCTTCCTCCTCGTGAGCTTGGCCTGGGGCCTGTAGATCCTGCGCGGGTCGCAGCGCAGCCTGTGGGTGGTCTTCTTGTGGCAGGCCACGTGCACCAGCTTGAGGTTGTCGCGGGTGAAGAGCAGGCTGTAGAAGTACTCCCAGTCCACCTGCCGCCCGGCCGGCTCGCCCACCGCCTCCGCCAGCGCGGGGATCACCGTGCGCTTCTTCTCTATTCTGCAAGGGAGGAGGGCGCTCGTGCCTGCTGGCGCCCGAGGCACGGCCGCCTCCAGCACAGGCGCCCTGACACTGACACCGGCACCGCGGGCTCAGGCAGCTCACGGCAGGGGTGGCCGCTCGTGAAGGTAACTGGGAAGTGAAGGTTTCAGAGGAAACCACTCGGCCGCCTCCAGGAGCTGGGCGGCAGGGCCAGGGGGAGGGTCAAGCACTCGGGGACGTCCCTTCCCTGACTGGACCCTGAGCCGCACTGAGCATGGCCACAGCTGCGGGTCAGCTGCTTGGCAGGCCCTGATGGCAGCTTGGCGGTGTCACTGGGTGGTGCCTGCAGTTGTAAACAGGAGAGCTCCCGACCCGCGGACTCACATGTGGTCCAGGTTCCACGTGCTGAAGAGCACCCGGCTCTCACGGCTCCCGTAGGGGTTGATGGAGTGTCTGGACGCACAGTCGGCCATGTCGAAAGGACCCTGCGCCGAGAGAACACGGTGACCGCTGCAGAGTGAGCCGTCCCCTCTGGTCTGGGCCAGGAGGCGCCACCTCAGCCCCCGCCCAGCTCTGCAAAGCCCAGGTGTCATCGGCACCTGAGGCCAGCCACACCTGACACCCACAGAGGTGAAGGCCAGGACGGTGGTGGGATGGAGCCCCCCGTCCTCCTGAGGGTGGCACCTGGGGAAGCAGTGCCCTGGGCAGCCCTCAGGTGATGGGAGGCTCCTGCAGTGTCTGCCTGCGCAGCTCAGAGTGCCGGCTCCAGCCGATGTCCTGGCCAGGGGCTCAGGCTGGCCCAGTGCCTGAGGTGTCTCAGTGGCCACAGACCCTGACATCACTGTCACTGAGGAAGCTGCCCAGGGGACAAAACACTTGTCCCAGAGGCTCCTGATGGTCCCTCCTCGCCCCAGCCCCCACATCAGCAGGAGCACCACCAGAACTTGTCAGAAATGCAGGTTCTCAGGCCCATGCCACTGGAGCTCGGGGTGCGAGGCTGCTGGCCGGAGGCCCGGGGCGTTGTCCCGTCACCTCGCTGGGAGGGCAGCTCAGCACCCGCCAGTGGTCCCAGGGGACGGGCTCCTGCTCACCTGGCAGGAGAACCAGCCTTCGGGCGTGCAGAGCCGGCCGCCGGCCTTGGTGCTCCTGTCGAAGTAGCTGCCGTTGTACTGCGCGGCCCTGAGCTTCTGGGCCATGGCGTCCACGGCCCGCGTGTACTCCTCCCGAGCCTGCGCACCCACCGCGGACGCGTGCGAGCTCACCTGGAGGGCGGCAAGGACGCGGCTGGGACCCCAGCCCTCGGAGCTCAGACGGAACCTCGCTGTCCAACCCGGGAAGTCTCCGCAGACGGAGCTAACGTCACAGGCAGGCGGAGACAACTCGGGCTCCGGACACCCTGCCCACCCCCGTCTCCTCGCACTGGCCACTTGCCGCTCAGGGGGGGGCTGAGGGGAAGAGGGCCGACCAGGAGCTGCCATCATGCAGCATCCCTGCCCACCTGCCTGCCACACCGTGCAATTAAGTGCAGGTGGAGACTGGCCCCGGGTGCTCCAGGCTGTGCCAGCACCAGCCCCTTCCTGAGCTGCCCCAGGTAGGGCGGCACCAGGCACAGCGGGACTGGGGTCCGGCGCTGCCCCAGGAGCTCCGGGAGCCCAGCGGCCTCACCTCCCACCGCAGAGCCCAGTGCCCGCCCTCCGCAGGGCCCACCTCTCTCAGGTAGGTCCGGATCCTGCTCGCACAGCTGAACCTCAGGTAGGCCGACTTGTTCCTAAACCGCGCCTCCAGACCTGCAGGGGGAGCCAGGCCAGGGTCTGCATCCGTGCCGTCCTGGGCGGGAGCGGGAGGTGGGGGACCCTCCATCCATGCCGTCCTGGGTGGGAGCGGGAGGTGGGGGACCCTGCATCCATGCCGTCCTGGGTGGGAGCGGGAGGTGGGGGACCCTGCATCCATGCCGTCCTGGGCGGGAGCAGGGCCGGGAGGTGGGGGTCCGGGCTTCGTCTGAGAAATGTGCCGGGCGTGTCTGGGGGCATCTTTGTGCACGAGGGGGATCTCAGCGGCCACCCCAGGCTCCTGCCGGTGCCCCTTCTCAGGACGGCTAGCGTCTTGGGGTTGCTCAACAGGCTCGTCCATAGGTGGGAGCCACCCGGGTCTGGCCACGGGCGGATGAACAGATCAAGAACACGCAGTCCCCACACCGTGGGATAGGCTTCACGCCACTACGGCCGCCAGGGACCTTGTAGACGGAGGCTCAGTGACAGCAGCTAATCGCAGGGGCAGGTAGTCTGACTCCACCTCCGTGAGGTCCCTGGAGGCGGCAGGTCCACAGAGACTGGAAGGAAAGGGGGGGGCGGTGCCAGGGGCGGGGGAGCGGATGGCGGTGAGTGTTTAATGGGGACAGAGGTGCAGTGTGGGAAGATGGAAAGTTCTGGAGCTGATGATGGTGAGGGCTGCACAGCAATGGGGATGTATGTAATGACCCTGAGCTGTGCCCTTAACAACAGCTAGAATGGTGAGCTGTGTGTCATAGGTACCCACCACCGCCCTGGGCTGCCGGACCAGCCCCAGGAGCAGGAAAGCAGCAAGCCCCTAGTTTGGGGAGCCCCTAGTTTGGGGAACTGGAGCAGGACCCGGCCTCTCCCAAGGTGTCCGGCTCTGGGGAACCCTCCCAGGCCCAGCTCCCCAGGCCCCAAGTCGCAGGCACCTTCGAACCAGGGCGGGTCCTCGGCCCTGGTCTCGGCCACGATGTTCTCGCTGACCGTGTGCAGGAGGTCGGCCAGCAGCTTCTGCCGCAGCGGTGCCTGCTCGTCGGCCAGCAGCTGCCGGGCGGCCTGGATGACTCCCACGTGCGGCCTGTGGAACACGCTGAGGAAGCGACTGATGTCACTCACGTCTGCCACCAGAGGGGACAAACAGAAGCCATCAGTCCTCGGGCACCGCCTTGGGAAGGCCCAGCCTGACCACCTCCCCCTGATGCTTTCGAGTCAGGACTCCGTTCTCACGGCATTCCTGTTTGCACCAGTGCACACGGGCTGCCTCCGCCTTCTGGCCGTGGCGCATAAGCTCTGAGCACACGTGGGTATAACCCAGGGGTTCCCAGCCTCCCTCTGGCCACACCCCTAAGCATCTCCAACATCCTGAGCGGTGCTCCACCACCCCCTCCCAACATAGAATTCTTATTCACAAAGTGAGCTCCTATTTCTGAAAAGGCCATGAGCTTGGTCTAAACAAGCTTCTAAAGAACGTGGCATCCATGAAAGAGAAAAAGAAAGGGCTATTGAAGTCCTGAGGAAGAAATCACTAAGAACTTGTTAATAATAATAATAATAATATGAAGCGATATGAAAAAAGAAAGTTTCAGAACATAGAGAACTGAAATTTGTAAGTATGTCACAGTACATATTTATATACTATCGGGTGCCTAGAACCATAAGAATTGCAAAAAATTCACTGTTGACTCATTCCAGACCTCCCTGTGGGGTGTGCGCCCCACGTGGGAACCCCTGCTATAACCCTCGGTGTGGCTGCGAGCTTTCCCTTTTCTTGGGTGCGCACCCCGGAGAGCACTGCCAGGGCACTGGGGAGCGCCTCGGGGTTTCAGGAACCACCAGCGCCCACGGCGTCCCTCCACCTCCTCCCCGTCCCCATCCCCCTCATCTAGAGCTGAGGGCAGTCTCCCCGGGGTGGCTTGCACATCCCCGACAGCTGATGGACATTCGCACATCCTGCTTGGAGGAATGCGCACAGACCCTCTCCCTCAGCACCAGGCCCGCCACTCACAGCCCTGCCAGGCCTGGCCCTCGGTGAGCAGCACAAGCTCCGCGTTGTCAGGGACGCTCCAGAAGCAGTCTGCGGTCAGCTCCGCGCCATCCTCCCAGAGGCACAGCCGGGAGCCGGGCACGGGCACCTGGGGGAGAGAGGACAGAACGCTGGCTCAGGGCCCCAGGCAGGCCCCTCCGCGCAGCAGCAGCCTCACCAGGAACAAGAGCCACGCTCGGCACGCCGCCTGCACCACAGGGCGCACACCTGAGACTGGCACACGTGTCTAAAGAATCAGCGTGTGTGTCAGAACGAGGGCACCTCCTGCAGGTCTTTCTAAAGCAGTGGCCCTGCTCTGCGGAGGCACGACAGGGACCCTTTCCAGCTGCTGCTCAGAGCACTTACAATCCAAGCCCTTTTCCAGACCTGACGCGGGACTGCAGCCCGTCCGCCAGCGAATGCACCCCCATCCACCAGGGCCAGGACCGCGGGCTGAAGTGACGCCTGGCTTCTGTCCCTTGGGGAGGCTGGTGCTCTGTTGCTCCACACTGGTTGGTTTTATGAATTTGGGGGGCCCCTCCTGGGTCACCCCCACCTCACGTGTGTACACACCCCAGCGCTGGCCCAGACCCAGCCCTGAAAACAGTGAGAGCAAGACCGCAGCTGCATGAGCCACTTTCCTGCTGCAGGGCCTTGAGGGGCCCCGGAGCCCAGCCCCTTCGTTCCACCGAGGGGAACCCGAGTCCCAGGGCGGCCAGTGGCTGCGTCCTAACCCGCGCTAATGAGCAGGTGTGCTCTGGACACGGTCCTGAATCTCAAGCCAGAGGCAGGGCCCTCAGGGTCGGAGGGGATGCTCCGCCCCCTCCACAAGCCTGCACCCTGCGGAGCAGGAGGAAGAGGTGCCTCTTCCGGGTCTCAAGGGACCAAAGGCAGGAAATGGCTTTTCCCTGGACCCTCCGCTGTCTCCCTCCCCATCCCACCACACCGCTGCACCTCCGATTCCCCCAAATTCCTCCCAGGCCGTCAGTACCTGAGCCGGGCAGGGGCAGAGGCTTCTACGCTGCGCCCAGGGAGAAATCTACCCCCAAGTCTGAGAACCTCTAGAAACCTGAGGACTCCAATTCCACCCACTCCGCAGCACCCACTGCGCCCTTCCAGGCTCTGCCACCCGGCTCCTGCCCTGACGTGAAGGCGTCAGCACAGAATCACAGGGTTTTGTCGTGGACTCGGAGACAGTTCACGTGGGGGGAACCCAGCCGGTGCCGCCCACGGAGGTCCGGCTCGGGTCCCCGCCTCCCGAGGCATCTGTCAGGACTCGGGGACACACTGGGCTGATGTGACCGGTGCTGATGGTGACAGGTGACGGGCCAAACAGACCCATCACACCCAGAGCCTCCGGGCAAGCTCGGTGGCCGCCCTCGCCCGCCGCGCCGCACCTGGAAGCGTTGGCACCCCTTCCGCAGCACCTCCTGGCAGCTCCTCCCCGCGATCCCAAACTTCTGCTGGCTGTGCAAAGCCCGCAGCTTGAACGTCTTGGGCTTCCGGGACCCAGACATCTTCAGGGCCTCCGGCCCCGCGGGCAGCACCTGCTCGGCCCGCTGCTCAGGGAGTCCGCACCCCGCGTCGGGCCGGCTCCCGGTGGACTCCGCGCAAAGGAAGGCAGCGCGCCACTCCCTGAACTACACTTCCCAGAAGGCCCAGGGAAGAGGCGATCCTGTCCTGGTGCGCATGCGCCGTTCCCCGGAAACTCCGTTACCCAGAAGGCCTGGGAAAGCGTTGCGCATGTGCGGCGCGGCGGGCGGGGCCGCGCAGGCGCGGAGGCCGGGCGGGCCGGGCCCGGCTGGTTGTCATGAGAGCGGCGGCCGCGGCCCGGGCGCTGGGCGCCGCCGCTGCGAGTCGGGGCGGCGGAGGCGGCGCTGCCTGAGCCCGCCGAAGGCGCGGAGGTCGTGTGGACGCCGAGGTCCGGCGGCCCTCCATCCTGACAGGTGGGCGCTCGGCTCCTGGCGTTTCGCGTCGGATTCCGCGTCCTGGTGGCCCGACCTGCCCGTGCGGGGCGCCCGGCGGCGACGGTGACTCGCCGCTCCGCGCAGGTTCCGTTCGCGTCCTGGTCCTTCCTTAGTTACCGTGGGTCCCCTCGCCTCCACACCCCTTCCGGCCCCTGACCAGAGACCACTCGCTGTGTAACACAGTTCCCTGAGGATGGAGACAGGCGCCCTCCGGGCTGGCAGCAGAAGCCCGGAAGTGGCCAAAATGTGCCCCTGGAGGCACCCTTTTCCCGGCGGGACCAGCCTGTGGAGTGAGGGGCCTCGGGGACACCTGTAGGCGGGCGCTGGCTGGGGGTGACCTCTGACCAGAACGGGGGGGGGGGGGGCGCTTTCGGGGTCCCAGATCCACTAACTGGCCACCCAGGTCATGGCCATCGGGTCCTAACTCAGGAACCTTTCCCGGGCTCTCTGTCCAGGTTGCGGGGCCAACTTCGTGTCGGAACCCAGGGCGCTGTCCCAGCCCTGCCCGCCAGACTTGCCCCTCCGCTCGGGGCCCCCAAGGCCGGCTCATCTCTAGGAGCAGGACCTGTTGCTTCCTCAGCCCACCTTGAAAACAGGTGTCTTTTCCTGTTCTCGGCTGAGTGTGATGGTGGCTCTTGAATCCGTACAGTTTTGAAGTCCTACTCACAGGGCCAACGTGTGTGTGTGTGTGTGTGTGTGTGTGTGTGTGTGTATGTGTGTGTGTGTGTGTGTTAGACTCCTTCACCCAGCGCTTGGGACTATGGTGGGCAAGGCCTTGAGGGCCTGTCCTCCAAACCTTCATGACAACAGACAGGTGCAGCTGTCACCCCAATGCCAGAGACAAGGAAACTGAGGCACAGCGAGGCCCAGGCCAGGGTCCCCCAGCTGTGAGCCATGCAGGCAGGGTTTATGCCCGCTGTCAGTGGTCAGGTTCCAGCACCCTCTGCCGTGTGCACTGAGACTGAAAAAAGGACCTTTTAGGCCCACGGTGCCATGTTGTCTCAGTAAATCCGAAACAAAGGACTGGCACTTAGGGACCAGGCAGGGGAAATGCCTGGGCACAGCAGGGGCAGCCTCCCGAGGGCGTCTGAAAAGGACTCCGTTTTGGCCGCCCCCTTCCAGAGCCCTTCCACCTTGTACCCTAGGCACCAGGGGTCCTGTCCAGCATCTAGAAAGGTTCAGGAATCTGGACAAGGAGCTGCTGTAAATTATTAGAGTCTGGAGACAACATAATTTTGGAAGGCATTTTGGGGAGCCAGAGGAGTTTGGCTGTAGGAAGCAAGTTCTCTGTCTCTCTGGACCCCTTGCTTTTTATTAACACAAATTGCCCTAAGGTAGGGGTGTCGAACTCAATCAGAGAAGGGGCCAAAATCTAAAATCCAGCCTAAATCGCAGGCCGAATGGTTTACTGAACAGTCATAAACTGTCATTGTGATGGAAACGCAGCGGAGTGCAGTGATGACAGCGCGGTGCGGGCCACATTGCAAGGCCTGGCAGGACGGATTTGGCCCGCGGGCCTTGTGTTTGACACATGTGCTAAGGCAAAGTAGATGTGCAGATCAAAGGCCAAGCTTTAGTATTTGGAATCCATTGTCAGGTTGCGGGGGTGCAGCTTTGAGGTGTTTGGCCAGCAGGAGGCAATAACAGGTAGATTAAAATGCCCTCAGCTGTCTGGCAGCAAGCAATCATCTCTGCAGATCTTTAGGTGTGGGGAAATGCCCTCATCCATTTCCAGCAGGCAGTCCTCAAGGTCCCATCAACCTTCTAGGAAACTTCCTGCATTTATGACATGCTGGAATCAGCTTCCATACCTGGGGTCCCTTTATAAACCTCCAAGTGTTACATGAGGTAGTGGGGTGTGGCTAAAGGATGCTACTGTATAAGGTGCTTAAGAAGAAACAAGGTTTTCGCAGAGGGAACATTGCGAGTTACTTGGAGTTTTAGCAAGGCTGGAACTGGTAGTTTCCGGTGGATAAAGTTGTGATAACATATTACTGAGTTCCTCTTTTAAAAAAGCGTTTTCCGTGTGGGGGTCCGGGAAGAGACTGGGCCAAAAGCTTACACCTATGGATAAGGACAGCGGTGGGGTGGGGAGGGGAGTAAGGGTAGAGGGTGGGGTGGGAACCGGGTTGAGGGGAGCTACGGGGGGCATCGGGGTGGGAGAAACAATTGTAATAATCTGAACAATAAAGATTTATTTAAAAATAAATAAATAAACAAGCGTTTCTTGCTCTCTCCAGCAGCCCCAGCGCACAGAATGCCCCACAAGATCGGATTCGTCGTTGTCAGCTCATCTGGGCACGAGAACGGCTACAGCGCCCGGGAACTCATGATCCACGCACCCACCGTCAGCGGGTGGAGGTCGCCAAGGTGGGTGGGCGAGGGCCTCAGGTGGCCGCGGGGGCTCCAGAGCAGGCGGCTCCTTTCCCTGTCACTCGTCAGAACTCAGACGTCCTGGCCGCGGGTTGTCCGCTGCTGCTGCTGCTGCTGCACCCCCTGTCTGGTGTCATGCGTCCTCTTCCTGCTGCTCAGGGTTTTTTGTTGTTGTTGTTTTTTAAACATCTCCAGGATGCTTCTTTTTTTTAATATATTTTATTGATTTTTCACAGAGAGGAAGAGAGAGGGATAGAAAGTTAGAAACATCGATGAGAGTCATCGATTAGCTTCCTCCTGCACCCCCCCCACTGGGGATGTGCCCGCAACCAAGGCACATGCCCTTGACCGGAATCGAACCCGGGACCTTTCAGTCCACAGGCAGACGCTCTATCCACTGAGCTAAACCGGTCCCGGCTGCTCAGGGTTTTAAAGAGAACTTTCTGAACCTCTTCCCTTGTCTTGTTACCCACGTTCACTTAAGAAATGTGCAAACACAAGAGGGGAGACGGAAGACAGCGACCGGCCGTCCGCCCGCTCACGCCGTCTCTGTGCCGAGCTGCGGTGCGGTTTGCAGGTTTCCTGGTTCCGCCTCTGACCTCGGGGGGCTCTGGGGTTTGTCCCGACGTCTGTGCTTTTACGTGCATGTGTTCTGCGGGAGTGTCTGTGTCACAGCAGCTGGTTCCCGTGTTCCTGTCACCCTCCTTCCCTCGGGCACCGCTCCCAACCTTGGCTTTGCAAAAACTCAGTGTCAGGAAATGCCAGGCGAGGTGCCCCGAACCAGAGCCCATCTGATCGCCCCCTGGTTGCCAGCCACCTCCTTCCTCGTCTCACTCCCTGCTCATCCCTCAGAGTTCAACATGCAGCCATCTCCCCCCGTCCAGGGTCTCAGTTACCCGTGGTTCAACCACAGAGTGAAAATATCTCATGGAAAATTCCAGAAGTAAACAGGCACACGTTTAAAAGCGCCTGCTGCTCTGAGGCGCGTGATGAAACCCGGAGCTGTCCCCGGAACGTGAATCACCCTTTGTCCAGCGCCCCGCACCATGGACCTCCCCGCCCGCCCGTCCTGGATCTCAGCGCTGTGTCCCAGCCGCCCTGGTTTCCCTGGCAACGGGCCCAATGCGCGGGGGGGGGGGGGGGGGGGGGGGGGGGGGGGGGGGGACGCGGGGCGGGGCTGCTGGCGGCCCATAGGTGCCCGAGGGAAGCCAGAGGTGCTTCCCGGGTGAGCGGGGAGGCCTCTCCTTCGTGAGTAAGAAACCCTGAGCGGAGGCTGCGGAGATCGCGGTGAGAGGCTCCCGTCCGCCTGGACCTGAGGAGGGTCCTTTTTCTTTTAATATTTTATTTATTTTTTACAGAGAGGAAGGGAGAGGGATAGAGAGTTAGAAACATCATCCATCAGCTGCCTCCTGCACACGCCCCGCTGGGGATGTGCCTGCAGCTGAGCTCCATGCCCTTGACCAGAATCAAACCTGGGACCCCTGAGTCCGCAGGCCGACGCGCTCTCCACTGAGCCACACCGGTCAGGGCTTCCTATTCTTTCCTTTGCCGTCTCACCTCGGCCTGTGAGGGTTCCGGCCACGGAGCGTGACGGGCAGCCGTTGGGAGGGAAGCAGCGTGGGATTTGTGGGTGGGAGACAGAGCAGGAAATGTGTTCCGATGACAGTGAGGGGTTTGGGAAAGCAGAGCCTCTGCGGGGCCCCGGCAGGAGCCCAAGACAGGACCGCAGCGATGGGTCGTCAGAGCCACTCAGCTCGTGGCGACCCTTCGCCGGGCCTGGCTCACTGACCGAGCAGCTGCCCCTCACGGGGCAGGGGCGGGAGGACCGGCACCCACAGGCTCAGCGCTGCCGCAGCCACAAGGGTTTCCCAGATCCACACCCTTCACTGTCTTCCTCTGTCCCCAGGGAGCCCACCTCCCGCTGGCATCAGCCTGGTGTGGACCCCCCCGCTCCCCCTCTCCCCGGCCTAGCCAGCAGGGAGCCAAGCGGGGCTGCAGGGGGAGGCCTGCTCCCCATGTCAGAAATGTCAGAAGCTTAGGATAGGCTGCCTGGTCCCATGATGCCGCTCAGATGTCTGCGTGGGAATGGCAGTCACCAGCTGGATTATGGGGTGGGGCTCAGGGCGAGGCTCAGTGGGGGGTCCTTGATCAGGGGAGGTTTTTAAGGCCATAACTGACAGGACACCCCTTGTTGATCGCTGAGGGGAGGAGGCTGGGAGCCAGCCCAGGGCAAGGTCAAGGTCACAGGAAGGGGCCCTGTGGTAGGAGGGGCCGGGAGGGGAGGCCAGTGGCTGAGCCCTGAGTGCGGGGCACGGGGAGGGCTCCTGCTCGCCAGGCTGGCAAGGGCGGCTCAGTGATGGTGGGAACGGGAGGGGCAGGGGTCACGGAGGCTTCTCTTACCCGGGGTTCCTAGAGTCCTGGTGTCCTGACGGGACTGATGGCGGAGCGGCGGGTCTGGCAGGCCGGCTCTGGGGGGTGCGGCTGGACGCTGGGCTTGTGGAGAGCGGCTGCTGGGAGGAGAGGTGGGAGGGACCGGCGGAGTGGCCAGTGGGCAGGGACGCCGAAGGCAGTGGCCAGCGGCGTGTCCTCTGCTCAGACGCTGTGCTGGCTGTGAACCCTGGGTGGCCAGCTCAGCACACGTGGTTCCTCCATCCTTGGCTTGGTGCTGCGAGGCACCGTCACGGTCACAGTCACATCCCATGAGGCGGGGCTGGCCTGTGGCTCTGCCGCCTCTCGTTCAGGGCTGCGTGTGCCGTTCACTCCCAGAGAGACGGGGCTGCAGCGTGGGCGGTGCAGGTGCCGCCTCCAGGCCGCTGCCCCTGTGCGGGGGCGGGGGGCGGGCGGCACACATTGACCTCAGAGGCTGCTGCCAGCCGGGCAGGCCCTCCCTCTAAGCCAGGGCTCCTGGCTGTCTGCTCCGGCGGAAGTCCGAGGCTCCGTCTCGCCTGCCCGCACATCCCAGAGGCCGTGTCAACCTCGTGATAAACTTCAGTTTCCCTCAGACCCTGTTCCCGCTGCTGTTCCTGGGGCAGGCAGTCCGACCAGCCCTGGCTCCCAGCGTGTCCCACAGCGAGGCCGTGAGGGCAGGAGCGGTGTGTGTGTGTGTGTCCCCAGGCGTGTGGCCGTGGCCCCGGCTTCGGGGAAGAGCTGTGCCCGGCGCCCTCGGCAGCACAGTGCTCTGCCCCCAGGTTCTGCCAGTTCCCGCAGGAGATCGTGGTGCAGATGGTGGAGCGATGCCGCGTGCGGAAGCTGCAGCTGCTGGCGCACCAGTACATGATCCCCAGCAAGGTGGAGTTCTACATCAGCCACTGCCTGCCCAAGTACCTGGGCCCCTTCCAGGCCGAGCGCTTCCGCAGGCTGGGGTGAGCGGAGGGGCGCGGGTAAGGGCCTCTTTCGGGGCCCCTCCCTGGAAGCCCCAGACTCCTGAGCGCCCCTCCTCTGAGTCCCGGGCCCCACACTCAGGTCTGGGTCCCAGGTCCTGTGGCCCATCCCCCACACACCCCCACGGCCCCACTCCCACCCCCGCGCTCTCCCTGGGGTTTCCTGTGAGGCCTCGCTCCCCCAGCCGGCCTGCTCTGTGCCCTCCAGCTACGTCTCCCTCTGCGACAACGAGAAGACGGGCTGCAGAGCCCGGGAGCTGAAGTCCGTCTATGTGGACACGGAGGGGCAGTTTCTGAAACTGGTTCTTCACCAAAATCACGCCAACAAGTACAACATCTACAACCAGGTGACACGCCTCCGCGTGCCAGCGCAGCTCTGGTTGGGTCCCGTGTCCCCCGTCTTTGCAGAGAGGCACTTTCAGTCTTCCATGGGTGCGTCTCCCAGGAAGGCTGAGCTCCCCTGGGCCCATGCAGGCGGGGAGCTGGGGGGGAGCTGGAGGGGGAGCTGAGGGGAGCTGGAGGGGGAGCTGAGGCGCAGCTGGGGCAAGCTCGCTGGAGGGCTCCTCGCCTCGTCCTTCCTCCACACGCCTCCCCCGTGTTTTCACAGGGACAGGTGGGCTCCTTCGGCCACAGTGATTCTCAAGAAGCGGGAGGGGAGGGGGCTCCTCCCCTGCGATGAAATCAGGCCTACGAGCCGAGGGAACCTGGGTTCATTCTTTGTCTAATTCACCAGGCGTGTTGGTGTGACCCACGTGAGCCTCAAGCAGGTTCCTGGGAGGCTTGCCCTGGCCGGTGTTGCTCAGTGGATAGAGCACCTGCCTGTGGACTGAAGGGTCCTGGGTTCAATTCCGGCCAGGTTATATGCCCTGGTTGTGGGCTCCATCCCCAGTAGGGGGCATGCAGGAGGCAGCCGATCCATGATTCTCTCTCATCATGGATGTTCCTATTTCTCCCTCTCCCTCCTCTCTGAAATCAATAAAGATAATATTTATTTTTTAAAAAACCTGGGAGGCTTTAGCTGCTGTTGTTTTCATAGCCTCTAAACGTTAAGCAGCCGCTCGGTTCAGCACTGAGTGCAGCTTGTGTGACTGACAGCATGGTCACGGACAGCCTGCACGTGGGCCAGTTTTCCCAAGCGCTCCCACGCGGCCTCCATGGGGGGCTTTGACAAGACCATGGTGCCTGCCTGTGACGCGTGGTCTCTGCTCCCGCAGGTTGCCCTGGTCGCCATGAACATCATCGGGGACCCCGTGGGCTGCACCGACGAGAGCAACATGGTGAGTTTGGAAGCTTCATTTCTAAAGAAGCGACTTTATTTCCAAAAGGAGGGCGGGTTTATTGTCGTCACAAAGGGTGGCGTGGTAAGATCCGCAGAAGTGACGGAGGGGTGACGTAAACTGTTCTCATCGGGAGAACGGGGCCGCCCTCTGGGAGCTGGGGCCGCCCTCCGGGAGCCGGGGCCGCAGTGTGCGCTGGCCTCGGGGAGCCCGCAGTCACGGTCTGTGCGGTCCTTTCTCCGCCCACAGGCCTCCAGGGAGAGGATGGCTGACCAGTCCCAGGGGCAGCGCACGGAGGACCCAGCGCTGGAAGGAAGCTCCTCTGGGTAAGAGCCCTCCCCAGGCCTCCGGGGCCACCCACCCGCCAACGGGAAAGTCTCACTCCCGGTGAAGCATGGAGGTTTCCGGCGCCTTCGGGAGAGGCCGGCCGCCACCGGGTGTTTCAGTGGCGCAGGCCAAAGTGCAGGTGAGACCAAAGGTGTCGCTGACCCAGCGGTCCGTTGCCGGGACTTCCCATCTGTCCGTCCGTCCGTCCGCCATGAGACTAAGGAAGTGAGAAACGTGTCACGTCTGCTGTTCAGGTCCGGTTCTACAGCCCTCCGCTCCGCGCTGCCAGCGGTGCGCGCTGGCTGCGCTGCCTCTCGCACTGGAAGGAGCTGCGTGGCTCAGAGCAGGGAGCTACGGGCCCGCTCAGCACGTGGCTCTCCCTCTGCTGGGGCCTCAGTGCCCGCCCGCCCGCCTGCCTGCGGGTTACACAGCCCTGGAGGGGCTCCTCCAACCGCACCCGCAGGAGCAGGCAGGCACGCGGGTGTGGCAGGAGGCAGGGTCAGGGCTGCACGGAGGCAGGGCCACAGGGAGACAGGGTGAGGGCCACACGGAGGCAGAGCCACAGGGAGGCAGGGTCAGGGCTGCACGGAGGCAGGACCTGCCGTTTGCACAGATTCAGAGGCTGCGGCGCTCAGGAGCTGGGCCTCGCCGGGTGTGGCCATGAGCCTGGCTGTCCGCAGAGGCCGCCTTGCCCCATGGCTGCCGCCCTGCCCCACGGCGGCCTTCCTGACGCCCTCACCCTGAGGCGGCTGGGCCGTGTGGGTGCTGAGGGCGAACGTCACTGACCACTGGCTGCGGTCCTGGCTGACCTCCGGGGTTCTGGGAAAGGGGAGGGCGCCCCAGGACAGGACGGCCTGGAGCCCTGGGCAGATGTCATGTGACCTCACTGTCTTTATAAGATTTTTATCATGAAGTGAGGCCTCTGTCTCGTAAAGCAACAAGCAGATTGTCAAATTACAGCGGGGAGGGGAGGAGGATCTGGGGGAGATAATAGATCAACCGAAGGACTTGTATACATGCATATAAGTACAACCAATGGACATAAAACTATGGGGAGGGAGGGGCTATGGGGGAGGGAGGGAGGGGGGCAAAAAAAAATCATTAAAATATGTAAAAAAATAAATTAATTAATTAATTAAAAAAAAAAAAAAAAAAAAAAAAAGACATAGTGGCTTTGAGAGGGGAGTTTCCTGTAGTGCTATTTCCTAGTGGATTTCAGTAAATTCAATTCCACAGCTCAATCAGTGACTAATGGAACACGTAAGTGTTCTGCTTTTAATAATCTAACACATTTCACATTTATCCACACAGTAACAATGTAATGTGTTAATATAAATAAAATTGCCTTTGATATTCAGAAATAAAAAAAAAAAAAAAAAAAAAAAAAAAAAAAAAGAAGTGAGGCCTCTGTCTCCATCTCTGGGACTTTGAGGTGGAGGACTTAGACCTGGCGTAGACCTGCCTCTTGGTGGCAGTCGATAGGTGGCCTGTGGGCACAGTAGAAGGTGGCCCTACAGAGCCACCACTGGCCCCACTGGCCGTGCTCAGGGCGGCGGGGCCCAGGATGGGGGCTTGGTCCTTCGGGAGGTGCCATCTCCCGTGTCCTCTCTGAACCCGTTACCATACAAAGTGCCTACATGTGAAGTCAAAGCTGATAGTGCCATTTCCTGTCGCTGGTGTCCTCTATTACCGTTCCGCTGCGACCTTAGACTGTCAATGTCAGTGTCAGTGTCAGTGTCAATGCCAGCACTAGAGCCGCCTGCAGGGAAATGGAGAAAGAGTAGAGGGATGCCTGGTCAGAGCGGTGGTGCGGCCGAGATGCGTGCCCCCCGAAGGGTTTCTCATCTGCGGGCGGGAGGCCGAGGCAGCACTGGGCCCTCTGAGGTAAAAGTGCAGAAGCAGCTGCCAGCCGTCACACCCACCGGTCACTGGTGCTGGTGTGAGCGGACGCCTGGCTGCCCGGCCCTCAGGCTCCGGCTCAGCGAAGGCCTGGTCAGCACTGGTCTGGGTTGGGTTCTGCCCCACATCGCTGTCATGTCCGCGAGCCTAGAGAGAGCCTGGCATGGCCAGCACAGGGTGTGAGGGGAGTTGGGAGGGCCGAGGATGCCCAGTGCGTGACCTTGGATACGGACCCGGTGTGAGCTGTGCGGCCGCACTGACCCCTTGGGCAGCACCTCCAGGAGCCGGGCTGGCCGTTCGCCCCGCCGCCTTTCTCAGCGCTGCGCCGGGCCCTCCCCGCCTCCCCCGGGGACCTGGCTCTGAGGTGCCCCCCTCTTCCCGCAGGAAGTCTGACTACATCTCCCCACTAGACGACTTAGCTTTCGATATGTACCAAGACCCAGAGGTCGCGCAGATCATACGCAAGTTAGACGAGAGGAAGCGTGACGCGGTGCAGCAGGAGCGCTACGACTACGCCAAGAAGCTGAAGCAGGCCATCGCCGACCTGCAGAAGGTACGCTCCGCGGGCGCCCCGTGCGCCTGGGCGCCCCTCCTGAGTCCCCCGATGCCAGAGGGACACACCACAGACGAGTTGGACGTCCTGCTCTCACGGGGTTCCTCAGGCGGCCACAGGCAGCACTCGCTCTGCAGGGCGTGGCTGTGCCTCCCGCGGCTCCCGGGTCCCGGTCCCCACAGGTCACGGGAGTGGCCAGCGCGCCATCCAGTGAGCATGCCGACCGCTGTCTGCGTGGGCGGCGGAGCGCGGAGACGGTGTTGTGCACACGCAGGTCGGGGAGCGGCTGGGGCGCTACGAGGTGGAGAAGCGCTGTGCGGTGGAGAAGGAGGACTACGACCTGGCCAAGCACAAGAAGCGGCAGATGGAGGAGTACCGCGCCCGCGTGTACTCACAGCTGGAGCTGCACAGCCTCGTGAACGCGGAGCTGGTGCCACGGCCGTTGGATCTGCCGCCGCAGCCCCTCACCCAGTCCAGCAGTTCCTACCAGCTGCTGCCCCCTCAGGAAGACAGAGCGACAGACAACCTCCTGGAGCAGCCCTCGTCCAACTCCCTGGACGTGTCTTCCCAGCCCTGCTCCTCGGACCAGCAGCTGTCCTCCCCTCACTCTGCCGGCAAGGCCCGCGTGCGTACCCGGTCCCGTGGCGGGAGGTCACTCCGAAGCGGGCCAGGCGCCTGCAGGGGGTGCTGTCCGAGCAGGGCCTCACTCACCTAAAGTCCGCGTCACGTGGACTTGTCTGCATGTCCGTCTCCCGGCCGGCTCAGGAGAGCCCACGCCTGTGCAGGAAACATGGGGGCCACTGGACAGTGGGCACGGAGCTCAGGGGGGACACATCCCAGCCGTGACTAGGGAAACAGCCTGCTTGCCCGTTGAGCTGACCCGCTGGAGGCAAAGGGTAGGAGGCAGCACTGGCATCGCTTTTCATTAGGCTGCGATGGGGGAGGGGGGAAGGGGGAGGAACCCTCATTGCGTTTTGTCAGCGCCTGCTGTCGTACAGTGTGTTCTGACGACATGAGATTCAGCACGTGCCCTCACTCAGCCTGGGAAGGCCACGGCGCTGAGCCGGCTGCGTAGACGGGTGGCGGTCGGGGTCCACGCGGGAGCTCTGCAGCCCCTTCCTCCCCTGCAGCCCGAGGCCGTGCCCTATGACGAGCGCCCCCTGCCCGCTGTCCACAAGCAGCCCGGGGCAGCTGAGGAGCCGGAGACGCGGGACCTGGACGCCAGCGAGGCCTCCCGAGCGGCTGCGGCCGGCGAGCCTGAGCCCCTCACGGAGAAGGCCCTGCGGGAAGCCAGCCCTGCCATCGAGGTGCTGGGGGAAGGCCTGGTAAGAGGAAGCCCGGGGGGGGGGGGGGGGAGAAGGGAGAGGGGGGTGTGCATGTGGGAGCGTGTGGGAGCGTGCGCGCAAGTGCACAGCAACCTCATGAGTGAAGGAGTGACAGCCACAGTGTCCTGTCCTCTCGGCCCCGCTCATGCCCGCAGAATCCTGCCTGCGGCTTTTTATGGACTCAGCCCATCAAGTATTCGGTCTCCCTCCTTTTTTTTTTTTTTTTTTTTAATATATTTTATTGATTTTTTACTGAGAGGAAGGAAGAAGGGTAGAGAGTCAGAAGCATCAATGAGAGAGAAACATTGATCAGTTGCCTCCTGCACACCCCCCACTGGGGATGTGCCCGCAACCAAGATACATGCCCTGGACTGGAATTTAATCTAGGGCCTTTCAGTTTGCAGGCCGACACTCTATCCACTGAGCCACACCGGGCAGGGCTGGTCTCCCTCCTTCCCTGCTGCCGCCCCTTTTCCCAGCATGACCCTCTTTCTCCAAGAGCCTGACCACCTGCCGTATCTGTGGAGGCCACTTCCCGTGGTCATTCGTGTTCCGGGCTCGTTTGCGGGACCCTCCGTGGCCATTGGTCCGGGCTCCGTAGAGCCTCCTCCCACACCAGGCTCCAGACCCACCATGGCTTTCCCAGCAGCCCCCTCGCCGTCCAGCTTACGTATCACGCCCAGTACCGGGGGTCCGAGGCTGTGGACGGGCTCAGCTCGTCTCTGATGGCACGTCTGCACCCTTGGGACCTGCCCGAATTCTTCCCTGGGGGAGGGAGGGAAGAAGGGGGGCAGGGAGGAGAGGAAGAGGGAGTCTTGTGCTGATTACTCAGCGAGTGAAACAAGGAAAGGAAAGCGAGAGACTCAAAACTGTGTCCCAGAGCTCGGAGCTGGCTGTGAACCCGCTCCCTGTGCCACCAGCCGTCCCGGGAGGACAGAGCGGGGCAGGCAGTACGTGCCTGGCTTAGGGAGCCCAGCCGTGTCCCTGCTCCCTGCCAGAGCACGCGCCAGGCTCAGCAGCCTTAGGTTTCCCACAGAAAGCGGTTCTCTGATGCCCAGGGCACACTCTGCAGGGCCTGGCTTTGGAAAAGGTGTTTTTTCCACTTGAAACAAAGGCTCGGGTGGACAGTGCTGGGTGGCGAGGTCGCTGACACCAGGGAGTAAGCAGGCTCCGCCCGCAGGTGGCGAAGGCCTATTCCAAGGTGTGGTCCTTCCGGGAGGAAGCCCTGCTCACCCTGTACCAGCAGCTGGTGGACACGCCCACCGGGACCCCGAAGGAGGAGCTGAAGGGCCTGCTGCGCGCGGCCGTCTTCCTCACCCGGAGGTCCCTCCGGGACATCGTGACCCCGGTGAGTCCCTCGCCCTCAGGGATGCCCGCACGCCGGGCACCTGTCCCTCTGACACTCACACTGGCCTGAACACCCCCTGCGCTCTTCAGAGCCGGGCAGGGGCCTGGGCTCCAGGGCTCCCGGGCATCCGGGCCAGGGGCGGGGAGTGACTGTTGAGCTTACTGACTCTGAGAGGCCTCCAGGTGAGTGCCCCGGGGTGCACCGCCATCTGCGCGGGAGCTTCCCAGCTTGGGGGGCTCTGTGCCGGGGCACGGGCTATCGAGTGCTTGGCACCAGGAAGTGAGAGCAAGGGTCTCCGCGTTCAGAAGGCACGGCATGGGGCTCCTGTTTATCCCGGACAGGAAGTCCACATCCCTCCTAGCGGGACTCGGGCGGAACAGGCCGTCTCCTCCCGCCCCAGGTCTTCCAGGCGTCGCTGAAGGTGCTGAAGATGCTCATCACGCAGTTCATCCCCAAGCACAAGCTGAGCAAGCTGGAGACGACGTACTGCGTGGAGAGGACCGTGCCCGTGCTGCTCGTCCGCACCGGGGACTCTTCCGCTCGCCTGCGGGCCTCGGCTTCCAACTTCATCCAGGTACAGCGGCCGTGTGCAGGGCGGGCGCACTGCTCCGGCCCTGCCTCCCCCTGAGGGCCCTCCTGGCTTCCCGGCTCCGAAGGTCTGTGTTATCTCGGACATGAACACCCTTTGTTGACAGAAAGGCCACTGCTTTCCTAGTGTTTCTCTAATCCAACACACGCTGTTCACCGTTAAAATAAAAACGTGTGACCAACTGAATCGGGAGAAAACTATAGCAAATGTGTCCCCATCCTGATGGAAACATCTCTCTGGACGAGCGAGCGTGCGGCCTCAGGCCAGGGGAGGGAGCGCTGAGCTGGCGGGCGCCGCCCTGTGTGTGGCCTCAGAACACCTGGGTATCTCCTAAATGTCCATCCCCAATGTGTGGCCCCACACCTTCTTGGAAGGGGGCCCAGAGCCTCTGTATTTCTCACGGACACTCTCCCCTGTGAGGAGTCCGCTTCCTGTGGCTCGGTAAGCTTTCTGTCGGTAAACGGGGGCGGTACTGAGCGCAGGTGCGAACAGGCATCCTCCGGCTGCGGTGCCTCCTGCGGCGCTGGGGGAGGGGGCGGGGGACGTGCTGAGGGTGGACACGTCCCCTTTGGAGGGTTGAGCCCGTTGGCTCTGAGTGTCGGGGCGCTGACACCTCGCTGGGCCCAGGCTCTGCATGCGGCCGGGGCGGCCCTGAGCTCCCAGCCGGGGCATCTGCCTGTCGCTGAGGAGCGTCTGGCTGCTGAGCGGTGCAGGCCAGGCACAGGGAGCTGTGGGAGGCAGAGGGTATTCACACTGGGCTCTGCAGCTTCTGAGCACCAACTGCCTTCCGCTGGCCTCTCAGTGTTTTCCCTCGTCTTCTCTGCTCTGGGTAACTCGGTGATGGTCATGTCTCTGTAACCTTGACTTCAGAAGCGCTTACCTGCGAAGGTGTAAATGTGGCGGTGCCTGGGGAATTCCGAGGGGAGAAGCCTGGTCTCGGTCAGCATTCTCTGAGGCTCCCACTAAACTCCAGGCCTCATTCTTCTCCCCTTTGGGTTTGCTCTACTCGTTCCCGTGTCTTACACGCGTGTGAGCTTAGGGACAGTGATCTCCCACCCATGTCACTGCCATGTTTTTTATATGTATATATGTTATTGATTTTGTACAGAGAGGAGGGAGAGAAATAAAGAGTTAGAAACATTGATGAGAGAGAGTCATCAATCAGCTGCCTCTTGCACACCCCCTACTGGGTATATGCCCACAACCAAGGTACATGCCCTTGACCGGAATCGAACCCGGGACCCTTCAGTCCCCAGGCCGACGCTCTATCCATTGAGCCAAACCGGTTTCGGCTCACTGCCGTGTTTGATGACTCTTCCTTCCTGGTGACTGAGGGTCCTGTCAGAGGGAGCATGTTCAGAGCGATGGCTAACCATGTGGCTCTTCCAGGAGATGGCGCTGTGCAAGGAAGTGCGGTCCCTGCAGATGGTGCCATCCTACCTGGTGCAGCCCCTGAAGGCCAACGCGTCGGTGCACCTGGCCCTCAGCCAGGTGGCGCTGCTGGCCCGGCTGCTGCGAGACCTGGGCACCGACAGCACGGGCTTCACCGTGGACAACGTGATGAAGGTAAGCGGGAGTGCCCGGCTGAGTGGGACCGATGCCTTGCGACACGTGTGGGACAGACTCGGGGTGTGCACTGCGAGGGGAAGGCGCAGGCAGGCCCTCCCTGCGCCGCCTCAGGAAGCGCGGAGCCTGTCGCCGGGAGGCCAGCGCTTTATTGCTGGAAGCAGGACCTGTGACCCTGATAGCCCAGACGGGAGCCTGGAGCCGGCCCTCCTCGCCTACGTAAGCAGTTTGATGCGCATGTCGGGTGTAGGGAAAGGTGCACTGAAAGCAAAAATGAACACAGCGAGTGGACAAGAGCAGAAGCAGAACCAGCTCTGCGTCCGTCCCAGGCCGTGTGCCTGCGTGAGGCCGCCGCCGAGGGCGCCAGGCAGAGGGCGCCGCCTCACCCCGGAGCCCTTCTCCCCCTGCTCTCGGGGTGACACGGACCGGCCTCTCCGTCAGTTTGCAGTGCGGGCCCTGGAGCACCGGGTGTACCAGGTGCGGGAGATGGCGGTCTGCGTGATCCTGGACCTGTACCAGCAGCACCGCGCCGACGTGCTCGGGTACCTGCCCCCCGACGACAGCACCTCACGCAAGAACATCCTCCTAAAAACCATCTTCGAGGGCTTTGCGAAAATCGACGGCAGACCCACAGACTCTGAGGTCAAGGTGCGTGGAAGTGGGAGTCCGGTCTGGTCCTGCGGAGGAGGAGGTCAGACAGGCACTAAGCCGGTGGGAGTGCAGGCGCCGCCGAGCCCCGCCCGCCCTCGTGCCCGCCAGGCCGTCCCCCACCTGGAGAGAGCGGCATGAGACTGCGTCTGGGCCACAGGGAAGCAGCCCTGACATCGGCCGGAGCTGGCCTTTCTCCCTCCCCCGGCTGGTCTTAGCGACGACTCAGCGTGTCACTCGTCTCCCAATTCAATGGCGATTCCACAAGCCCTTCTAACGGACGCCGTGTTCACACAGGCACAGGGGAGAGCAGCCACGGAGGAGGCAGAGAGACAGAAGGAGGAGGAAATCAAAGCTCTGCAGGGGCAGCTGGCCGCCCTGAAGGACATGCAGGCCGAGGCCCAGGTGAGCGGGGTCGGTGCGGCTGGGGCCCAGGTGAGCAGGGTCAGTGAGGCCGGGGCCTGGTGAGCAGGGTCGGTGCGGCCGGGGCCCAGGTGAGCGGGGGCAGTGCGGCCGGGGGCCAGGTGAGCGGGTCAGTGCGGCCGGGGCCCAGGTGAGCGGGTCAGTGCGGCCGGGGGCCAGGTGAGCGGGGTCAGTGGGGTCAGTGCGGCCGGGGGCCAGGTGGGCGGGGTCAGTGGGGTCGGTGCGGCCGGGGGCCAGGTGAACAAGGTCAGTGCGGCGGGGCCCAGGTGAGCGGGGTCAGTGCGGCCGGGGGCCAGGTGAGCGGGGTCAGTGCGGCCGGGGCCCAGGTGAGCGGGTCAGTGCGGTGGGGGCCAGGTGAACAAGGTCAGTGCGGCGGGGCCCAGGTGAGCGGGGTCAGTGCGGCCGGGGGCCAGGTGAGCGGGGGCAGTGCGGCCGGGGGCCAGGTGAGCGGGTCAGTGCGGCCGGGGCCCAGGTGAGCGGGTCAGTGCGGTGGGGGCCAGGTGAGCGGGGGCAGTGCGGCCGGGGCCCAGGTGAGCGGGTCAGTGCGGCCGGGGGCCAGGTGAGCGGGGCCAGTGCGGCCGGGGGCCAGGTGAGCGGGGGCAGTGCGGCCGGGGGCCAGGTGAGCGGGTCAGTGCGGCCGGGGGCCAGGTGAGCGGGTCAGTGCGGCCGGGGCCCAGGTGAGCGGGTCAGTGAGGCCGGGGCCCAGGTGAGCGGGTCAGTGAGGCCGGGGGCCAGGTGAGCGGGGTCAGTGGGGCTGCGGCAGGGGCCAGGTGAGCGGGGTCGGTGCGGCCGGGGCCCAGGTGGGCGGGGTCGGTGCGGCCGGGGCCCAGGTGAGCGGGGTCAGTGCGGCCGGGGCCCAGGTGAGCGGGGTCAGTGCGGCCGGGGCCCAGGTGAGCGGGGTCAGTGGGGTCAGTGCGGCCGGGCCCAGGTGAGCGGGGTCAGTGAGGCCGGGGCCCAGGTGAGCGGGGGCAGTGAGGCCGGGGCCAGGTGAGCGGGGTCAGTGCGGCCGGGGCCAGGTGAGCGGGGTCAGTGCGGCCGGGGCCCAGGTGAGCGGGGTCAGTGAGGCCGGGGCCCAGGTGAGCGGGGGCAGTGAGGCCGGGGCCAGGTGAGCGGGGTCAGTGGGGTCAGTGCGGCTGGGGGCCAGGTGAGCGGGGTCAGTGGGGTCAGTGAGGCCGGGGCCCAGGTGAGCGGGGTCAGTGCGGCCGGGGCCCAGGTGAGCGGGGTCAGTGGGGTCAGTGCGGCCGGGGCCAGGTGAGCGGGGTCGGTGAGGCCGGGGCCCAGGTGAGCGGGGTCAGTGCGGCTGGGGCCCAGGTGAGCAGGGGCAGTGCGGCCGGGGCCCAGGTGAGCGGGGTCAGTGCGGCTGGGGCCCAGGTGAGCAGGGGCAGTGCGGCCGGGGCCCAGGTGAGCGGGGTCAGTGCGGCCAGGGCCAGGTGGGCCCGGGTCCACATAGGCCTGAGGTTCGAGGTGGGTTCATGAGTTGCTGGGGGCCAGGTGGGCCGGGCTCACAGGGTCTAACCCTGGGCTCTGGGTTGGAGCCCTGTGACCGTGGATTCAGACGCAGACCCGTGGCACATGTTGAGTTTCTCGGCTTCTGCACACGCTCCTCAGCTTTACCGGGATGAACGGAAGGACCCTCCTCAGCTCGCCGGCATGCTCTTGTGAGCCGGGCGGGGTGCTGCCGAGGCTGGGCTCGGTCAGGAGGGGCCAGAGCCCCTTCAAAGAGGAGGGGAGGGCGAGGGTGAGCGAGCCCCCGGGGCGCTGGTGTGTCTGCTGGAGGCTCTGCAGGGAGGGGTGGGGAGAGAAGCACCTGCCTGCCCAGGCTTTGAGGCCTGAGGGGCTGGACAGCTGAGGACACTTGACCGAGGCAGAGCCGTGCAGGGCAGGAGTGGGGAGAGCGGGAGGGCCGCTACTGAGAGGAGAGGAGGGCTTAGAGGCCTGGGCAGAGGCGCCGAGTGAGCGGCAGGGCCAGGCGGAAGGCTCGCCCGGGGCTCCTGGCACAGAGACCGCCCAGGCCTGGGCCCGGAGGGAGCATATTGGAGGCAGACAGCGGGGCAGGCTGGCGGGCAGGTGCACGCGTGCCCTGGGAGCCGACTGAAGGGCTGTGGAGCAGGGCCCGGGAAGGCCGGGAGCCTGTGCTCTGAGAGCCCCGGTGAGTGATTTGGGGGAGGGGGGGCTTGACAAAGGGGCTTCCCTGGAGTCCTGGGCAGGCCCTGGAGGGAGGCCGGGGGAGGGGGCTGCAGGCCCTGGAGGGAGGCCGGGGGAGGGGGCTGCAGGCCCTGGAGGGAGGCCGGGGGGGGGGGCTGCGGGCCCGGGAGGGAGGCCGGGGGGGGGGGCTGCAGGCCCTGGAGGGAGGCCAGAGGGAGGAGGCTGCAGGCTCTGGAGGGAGGCCTGGGGAGTGGGCTGCAGGCCCGGGAGGGAGGCGGGGGGGGGGGGGCTGCAGGCCCTGGAGGGAGGCCGGGGGGGGGGGTGGCTGCAGGCCCTGGAGGGAGGCCGGGGGAGTGGGCTGCAGGCCTGGGAGGGAGGCGGGGGGGGGGGGGGGAGGGAAGGGGCTGCAGGCCCTGGAGGGAGGCTGGGGGGAGGGGGCTGCAGGCCCTGGAGGGAGGCTGGGGGGAGGGGGCTGCAGGCCCTGGAGGGAGGCCGGGGGAGGGGGCTGCAGGCCCGGGAGGGAGGCCGGGGGAGGGGGCTGCAGGCCCGGGAGGGAGGCCGGGGAGGGGGCTGCAGGGCTTGAGTGGGGGAGCCTCTTTCCAGAGCGGTGCCCTGTGCAGGACGAGGCTGCCGTGGTTGCGGGCGGGCAGCGCCGTGTCGGCAGGAACTTAGAGAAAAATTATGAGCACTTTCAGGACCGAGACGCACCTGCACAGCTGTCCCTGAGCGCCGGCCTGACGCACCTGCACAGCTGTCCCTGAGCGCCGGCCTGACGCACCTGCACAGCTGTCCCTGAGCGCCGGCCTGACGCACCTGCACAGCTGTCCCTGAGCGCCGGCCTGACGCACCTGCACAGCTGTCCCTGAGCGCCGGCCTGACGCTCTGCACAGCTGTCCCTGAGCGCCGGCCTGACGCTCCTGCACAGCTGTCCCTGAGCGCCGGCCTGACGCACCTGCACAGCTGTCCCTGAGCGCCGGCCTGACGCACCCGCACAGCTGTCCCTGAGCGCCGGCCTGACGCACCTGCACAGCTGTCCCTGAGCGCCGGCCTGACGCTCCTGCACAGCTGTCCCTGAGCGCCGGCCTGACGCACCTGCACAGCTGTCCCTGAGCGCCGGCCTGACGCACCTGCACAGCTGTCCCTGAGCGCCGGCCTGACGCACCTGCACAGCTGTCCCTGAGCGCCGGCCTGACGCACCTGCACAGCTGTCCCTGAGCGCCGGCCTGACGCACCTGCACAGCTGTCCCTGAGCGCCGGCGGCCGCGGGAGACCTCTGCCGCAGGTCCCTTCAGAGACAGTTTAAACACATTCCACACCACACGTCACCGACTTTAAAAGCGGCTGCTAAACTGACAGTAGTTCCCACGGAAAGCGAGTGAAGTTGCTTTCTCTGTCATCCCCAGGCCCTGACCGAAGGTGCTCGGCCCCAAGCAGCGCCCCCGAGAGTTCCGAGAGCCCGGGCCTGGACAAGTGCGTTCGCTGCCCTCGCCCCGGGGGTGGCGAGGGGGGACAGGCTGCCCCTGGAGCTGCTTTCCCCCGTTCGCTGGGTCCGGTAGACAGGCCACTCCTTCCAGTACCTTCAGGCTGGTACTGCCCCACAGTCAGCCTCGGCCCTGCCAGGCAGGGGCGGCCCGTGGGTCCCAAGTGCTGGTCCCGGCTCACAGGGTCCCGCAGGGCTCCCCGGCGGTGCGGCCGGTCTGCACCGAGCCAGGCATGTCTCTGCCTCTGTTGACTTGGCGTCCTTTCTGCTGGAAGGGGTCCTGGGGAAGCTGACACCCTGACTCCCTCCGTGGAGCCCCTTCAGGGCAGTTTAACAGGAGCCCCCAGCGCCCCACCCCTCACTGGAGGCCCTCCACCGCCTCCGGCTGCCTGCGGGCGGCACAGACAGCCACCGAGGCCCCCAGCCTCACGCCCCTCCCTCTGCAGCCTGTGCATCTTCTGCGGGGAGCGGAGCTCGTCCTTCACGGAGGAGGGCCTGGACCTGCACTACTGGAAGCACTGCCTCATGCTGACCCGCTGCGGCCACTGCAGACAGGTCAGGCCCGGCCAGGCAGGGCGGGGCGGCCACCGCAGACAGGTCAGGCCCGGCCAGGCGGGGCGGGGCGGTCACTGGGACAGGTCAGGTCCGGCCAGGCGGGGTGGGACGGCCACTGGGACAGGTCAGGTCCGGCCAGGAGGGGCGGGAAGGCCACCGCAACAGGTCAGGTCCGGCCAGGCGGGGCGGCCACTGCAGACAGGTCAGTTCCGGCCAGGCGAGACGGGGAGGCCACCCCAGACAGGTCAGTTCCGGCCAGGCGAGACGGGGAGGCCACCGCAGACAGGTCAGGTCCGGCCAGGCGGGGCGGGGTGGCCACGGCAACAGGTCAGGTCAGGCCAGACCAGCTCGACGGCCGCGTCTCCCTCCGTCCTGAGCGGGCTCCTGGGTGCTAAGGCGTCACGCGCTCAGCGGGTCCTTCCCCTCGGGCTGGGAACTCAGATGACCCTGGGCACGGGCCTGAGCGCGGGTGGTGCCGGCGGCCGGGGCGGACGCGCACAGGGCTGCACCGGTGCCCGCAGCTGCCGGCTTTGTCCTGCGCTTCCGCTGCAGGTGGTGGAGATCGCCAGCCTGACGGAGCACCTGCTGACGGAGTGCGACAAGAGGGACGGGTTCGGGAGGTGCTACCGCTGCAGCGAGGCTGTCCCCAAAGAGGAGCTGCCCAGGCACGTCAAGTCCAAGGACTGCCACCGTGAGTGCCCCTCGGGCCAGGCCCCGGGCTGCAGGGAGGCCGGCACCCTGGCTCCCTGCCTCACCCACGACCCACAGGGCAACTGAATCTTGTCTCGCTCATACCATTCCAGCTGCCAAACCAGAGAAGCTGGCCAACCGGTGCCCTCTGTGCCACGAGAACTTCGCCCCCGGAGAGGAGGTGAGGCTGCGGGGCCGCACGGGTCTGGGCAGCGTCTGTCTGGTGCCGTCCGTGTCCTTCCGCTGGGAGAGGCTCAGACCGGGGACAGGTGCGCCCGTCCCGTCTGTGCCCTGCCTGGGGCCCTGTCTGGTGGTGTGGCCTCTCTCTGCCACACTCTGGTCCCTTTTGACTCATGAAGGAGAGCCAGCGGCCGGGCTTGGAGAGTCTGCTTCCTGCCGCTGCCAGTGCTCCTCCCTCCCCGTGCAGCCACGCTGCACAGGTGGAGCGAGTCAGGCCTCCCTCCCCGCTCCGAGCCCGCAGACATGGGCCGCAGCCCCGTGTTCCTGACTTCTCTCCCCACACTGTGAGCTGACGGCTCTCAGCACACGCTCTGAAGCCATGGCTTTCTCCACGCCCGTCCGTGCCGCCCAGGCGGTGACGTGCTGCGCGGCTTACAGGCCCCTTAGCACCCGCAGTTCAGGAGCTGCAGGGGACCCGCCGGGTCCTCTCTTGGGGCCCCCGGGTGGTGGCGGGGGCCGGGGGGGAGCCGTGTTCTCACCGGAGGGCTCCACAGGGGAGATCCGCTTCGAGCTCCCTCCAGGGCAGCGGGGCTGCTGGCTCTGTCAGCCGAGGACGGAGCACGGATCGCCTTTCCCGGCGGCTGTTAGCCAGGCTGCCCTGCGCTCCTGTGCTCCTGCTCTCAGCTCCAGGCCACCTGGCCCCCTCCCCCCATGCCCTCCCTGAACTTACCCTCCGCGCACCCTCCTGGGCGTCTCACTGGGCGCCGCCTGCGGAGGCCGTGGGCGGTGGGCTGAGCCCCGAGGAGCCGTGCACAGAGCACTCGGAGGCCACAGACCCCCGCTGCGCGGCGCCTCAGGCCGTCTCTAATGCGAGGCCTGGTCTGGGTCAGCGGCGGAGGCCGGCCTCCTGGTCACCGTGGCCTCTCGTTGCAGGCGTGGAAAGTGCACCTGATGGGCCCCGTGGGCTGCGCGATGAATATGCGCCGGATGCGCCTGCTCTTCAAGGCTCCGGCTCTGCCACAGGGTGAGCGCAGCCCCGCCTCTGCCACGGCTATGCAGCCAGAGCGGCTTTCCGTCCGGCGCCAGGTCCTTAGGCAGTGGCTTAAGTCAGACCCGGAATGCTTTTCACTAGAAGACTCTCTGGCCGCGAGGCCCGGCTGCACTCCTACTGCAGGCCCTGAGCGAGAGGACGGGCGTAAGCAGCGAGTGTGTGTCTGTGCCAGGTGCTGAGCAGGCTGCACACCCTGGTCCCATACCGTCCTGTAAACCAGGACACAAGGGGGGGGGGGGGGGGGGGGCCAAGGTCATGCTCCAGGGAGGAAGCCCCAGCCACATGGCTGCTCATTCTCCGTTGCTGGAGCTGAACTATCGAAGCCAAAAGTGGCAAACAGCTCGGTCTCTCCGACCGCCAGCGCCGTTTCCTCTGAGCTCCTGGTGCTTCCTCTCCTGCCATCCCTGTGCATCTGCAGCAGCCACCTGAGGTCATCACCAGTGACCGCTGTCCTCCACCGACCCCCCACGGGCAGGCCAGCTCAGTCCCACCCTCCTGCGGTCCTCCCCCCACCCCCGTGCCGTCAGGTGCCGGTGCTCCCACTCAGGCGTCCATCTCCTCACAGTGCCTGTGCTCTGTTCTGTCCACCGCAGGCAGAGGCCCAGACGTGGCCAAGCTGGGGATCTCGGGACCGAAGGCTGGAAGCAAGATCCCCACCCCAAAGGGGGGCCAGAGCAAGTGCCCCGGCAGGACCTACAGGAGGCAGTGACCGGGCCTGCGCCCCTGGAGCGAGCGGACCGAGCAGCTCCTGACCATGCACACGTCTCCTAGCAGCGTCTGCGGCTGGCGCCCTGCTCCCCGCTGTCCTCACACGTGCGTGCGGCTGGCCAAGGTGGCGGCTCCTGTGTCCAGCGGGCAGGGCTGACTCTCGGGCAGGAGCTGCTGGCGTAGCCGCGCTGTCGGAAGAGACCCCGAACCGGCGCTGGAGAGGCTCCTGGGAGCAGTGCCGGGCCGGGCCAGGTGTCCCACGAGCACAGCACCGTCCTCCTTCGCAGGAGCCTGTGTGGTCTGTCAGCCACGGCTGTGGTCCCGAGGTACAGGACAGGAAAGCAGGGCAGCTCAAGCCCACCATCCCCACCCTGTGCCTTCTCTCATGCCTTCTCCCGTAGGCAGTGCTGCGGAGCCTGTGTTTTCCTCTCCGACAGAATAAAGGTTAATTGAGGGTAATGGCGGTCACCAACACCTGGTCCCTCCAGCACTCACGTCTGGGCTGGCCTGTCCCCGTCCCCGTCCCCGTTCCCACCCCCTCAAAGCCAGGCTGCAATTGGAGCTGAGAGCACTTTCCTCAGACATCTAGGTAATTCTTAAACCCAAAACATCACTCCCAGTGCCACAACCAAACTCATCTCCAGGGCGCCCCGGGGGGGGGGGGGGGGGTGGAGCCGGTGTCTGTCTGAAACTGCTAGGCCACGCCCAGGTCTGCCCGTCCAGGCAGGGCCCCTGGGACCCAGCAGCTGTCCTCGCTGTCCCTTCGTGGCCAGGGGCCGACGCCCACTGCCGAGCTGGGGCAGGCTATCGGAAAGCCGGTGGAAGGGCTGGCGGACCGGTATTCTAGTCCGCAGCCTGGGAGCTAGGACACGTGAACAGCTGTTGGAGCAGCGTGTGCCCAGCCACGTTAGCAACCATGGGTTCGCACTATCTGCCACCATTTTTGGTAAATTAACACCTTCTCGTGTGCTTGACTAGAAACACTGAGCAAGACCGCCAACAAAACTACCTTTAGGAAATGCTAACGTGTGGGGAGACGAGGTAAAACTCTCCTCGGCCAAGCAGAGTCCAGCACCGAGATGATCACAAAATGATCCTTTCGCTTCACAAAGATGTTGGCCATCTTCTAATGCATTTTTGAAATACAGATAAGACATTTTTTTAAAGGGGACAATAATGAGAAAAGTTAACTAATAATTATTATTCTTTTCTCTCCAAACAAAACTTAAGAAATAGGTATAATGTTTTCTATATAATTCAAAAATAGTTGTAAAATGTTTAGTTTTCGGTGACTGACAAAACTAGGTGCATTTAAAACAGCTCAGTCTTGCCCTGGCCAGTGTGGCTCGGTTGGACATTGTCCCATTCACCAGAGTTTGCCAGTTCAATTCCCAGTGAGGACACAGGCCCAGGCTGCTGGCTCCAGCCCCAGCAGGATGCACAGAGGCAGCTGGCTCCAGCCCCAGCAGGATGCACAGAAGGCAGCTGGCTCCGCCCCCAGCAGGGGTGTACAGAAGGCAGCCGATGGCCGAGACCGGTTTGGCTCAATGGATAGAGCGTCGGCTTGGGGACTGAGGGGACCCGGGTTCGATTCCGGTCAAGGGCATGTACCTTGGCTGCGGACATATCCCCAGTGTGGGGGGTGCAGGAGGCAGCTGATCGATGACTCTCATCGATGTTTCTATCTATCTCTCTCCCTTCCTCTCTGTACAAAATCAATAAAATATATTTAAAAAAAAAAAAAAGGCAGCCGATGGATGTTCTGTTCTCTCATAGATGTTTCTCTGTCCTCCCTCTCTAAAAATCAATAAAAATATATTTTAAATAAAAATAATAAAACAGCCGAAACCGATTTGGCTCAGTGGATAGAGCGTCAGCCTGTGGACTAAAAGGTCCCAGGTTCAATTCAGTCAAGAGCATGTACCTTGGTTGCGGGCACATCCCCAGTAGGGAGTGTACAAGAGGAAGCTGGTTGATGATTCTCATCGATGTTTCTAACTCTGTCCCTCTCTCTTCCTCTCTGTAAAAAATGAATAAAATGTTTTAAAAAATAATAAAATAAATAATAAAACAGGTTAGCCTTGCTGATTACAGAAGCTTCATGCATTGGTAGTGAAATGTCCCGTGGCAGTGGGTCGTGGCCGTGAAAGCTTCTATTGAACCAAGAACCGGGTAAAAGAGTAAAGGAACTGAGCTCCATTGGCCGTAAGTACCATCTGAATTTGGAACAGTAATAGTTGAACTTTTATTCATGAATATGTTGTGGGTATTTAACAATATTCTTTTCATATTTCAGAATAGCCTATCCATCTAACTTAAAAGAATTCTATGTGTAAATTGGCATTAGAATACAAATGTAAATACTTTTCATTAAAATTTGCAATTTTTTAAATGTTTTAGCATAGTTTTCTATTTACATTTCAGGTATCGGAACTATAAAGTATCTGAGTAATATATTTTTGTTGCTATTCAGGACTTAGTTAATTCACCTCAAGAATATTCATATAATAAAAAGGTCACTACACATTTCACTTTTATTTCGATAATTTAAAAGCAATTTGTAGGTTCTATTTCCCTCTGTAAACCTGAATGGTAAGTTGCCAGGAGAGAGTTTGGTCCTTAAATAAGTTGTCAAAATGGATTTACTGCTGAAGAAAGGAAGAGATTTTAAACTGCAGATAAAGTAGAGGAAGTTACCAGGTTATCCTGGGCAGGAAGGCAGGTGTACAGGGAATGCTGGGCCGCAGGAGAGGGTTCCAGCCAGTCTCCTGCGCCCTCCAACCAGTGAGGCCGTTTGCTTTTCAAATAAGGAAAATGGCAGCACTTCCTCTGTACATGTGGGTGGGTTTAAGCTTTTATCAGCTTTGGTAATTTTACAATTGTCTCTATTTTAAGTTATGTACAGCTTTTCCCTTACACAAAGAGGTCCTAACTTGAACTTGGGGTATCCTGCTTTGGGGGGAGGTGTGCTGCGCAGTGACCTCTGGGGAGGGCTGGCGGACGGTGGTCCATGAGGCGTGATGTTAGGAAACAGGCCTACCTATCTCCAGTGACGTCACAGCCTTGGTGCCCTAGGCACCCGCCACCCCGCCCTGCCCATGACCCCGCGCCTTGCCACTGGTCTGTGCCGAGCTGAGCATCACCATGTGGAGTGGACTTGGCGCCCTTTCAAAGCTTCCATAAACGGCAGCCGTTATGTCCTGGCATGGCCTCACCCAGACCTGGTCACCGCGGTGGCGGGGGGCACCGCAGGCCCCCCCAGACTGGCCGGACTGTGTGCGGGTTCTGACCGGTGGGCCTGGGACACCCGCCAATGCCGGGGAGGCCTCTGGGCACCCAGCTGCCCCGAACACACCCTCCCAAGGAGCCACCGCCATCAACCCTCAGTGCCCTGGGCCAGGGAGGTGCGCCCTGTCAGGAGGGGCCTAGAGGGGCCGGCGCCCGGCACCCGGCAGACGGTCACCCCTTCACCAGCCGCCCTCCCGCCCGCCCCCACGACAGCGGCCAAGCCCGGGTTCTAAGCCTCCTGGGCCGCTTGCTCTCCCCGGCATCGCCAATGGGCCGGGAGGTGCAGGTGTCCATGGGCTGGTCACTCCGCCTTTGGGCACAGGGTCCCCGCCACGGCCCCGCGGCGGCGGGGCGTCCCCGCTGCTCCCCAGAGCCTGCAGGACGACCCCGCGGTGCGGACTCCGGGCGCGCGGGGCGGGCGGGGCGGCCCTCGGGCCGGGCGGACTCTCGGAGCAGCGGCGCGGCCGGAACCCCGGGCGCCAAGGCTGTCTGGACACCGGAGCGCTAGCCCTGTGGCTCTTTCCGGTCAGCGCCGGAAGTGACGCCGCGCACGCCGGAAGCGCCCCGCGGGCTGCGGGAGCGGCGGCGCGATGGCGGCGGCGGCGGTGTCGGAGGCCTGGCCGGAGCTGGAGCAGGCGGAGCAGCAGCGGCGGCGGGAGCTGCTGCTGACGGGGCCGGCGCTGGAGGAGCGGGTGCGGGCGGCGGGCGGGCGGCTGCCGCCGCGGCTCTTCTCGCTCTCGCTGCTGCACTACCTGGAGGTGAGCGGCTGCGGCAGCCTGCGCGAGCCGGGCCCGGGCCTGGCGCGGGGCCTCCCGCAGCTGCAGAGCCTCGTGCTGCGGCGCAACGCGCTGGGCCCCGGCCTCAGCCCCGAGCTCGGCCCGCTGCCCGCGCTGCGCGTGCTCGACCTGTCGGGCAACGCGCTGGAGGCGCTGCCGCCGGGCCAGGGCCTGGGCCCCGCCGAGCCGCCGGGCCTCCCGCAGCTGCAGACCCTCAACCTCAGCGGCAACCGGCTGCGCGAGCTGCCCGCCGACCTGGCCCGCTGCGCCCCGCGCCTGCAGACCCTCAACCTCACCGGCAACCGCCTGGACTCCTTCCCCGCCGAGCTCTTTCGCCCCGGCGCGCTGCCCCTGCTCAGCGAACTGGCGGCCGCCGACAACTGCCTGCGGGAGCTCAGCCCCGACATCGCCCACCTGGCCTCGCTCAAGGTCAGCAGGGCGACCTGGCGGCGGGCGGGCTGGGCGCCGGCCTGGGAAGCGATGCGCCCCCCCGCCCATGTCCCTCCACCCCAGTAGCCCAGGCCTCGGCTTCTTCACTCCCCTCCCCGGAGCGGGGAGTGCCCAGGAGGTGGCCCAGACCCAGCCTTCCACTCCAGGACCTGGGGCGGGGACGCTGACAGGCGGCGAGGTTGACCGCTTTCCCTCCCGAGCAGTGCACTCTGCCTTCCTGCGCTTGGCGTTGCCATCCCCGGGCCTCTGGCCCATCAGCTTGGCTGCCCCCGGAGAGACCTGAGTGTGGAGTTGGCTTCCCTGCCCCTGGCACAGGCCCCCCTGCCAGGGCTGCCGCACGCCAAGGATGGGTGGCACCCTGGTGTCCCCAGCTGCCGGCGCTTTTAGACCCGAGGTGCTGCCATCTGGGACTGACGGAGGGATGGGCGGGACAGACGGACCTCAAACTTCCGGCCAGGACGAGGACCACTGCATCCAGGGTTTCACCCTCCTGCCAGGAGCCGTGCTCACCCTGACACCCAGCGTCCCTCACGCGTGGGACTCCCCATGCAGGTTTCACAGAGAAATTAAACTTGGAAGTGAAGCCCTTTGTCCGGTGATAAGGGAAATGGAAGTTAAAAGGAAAATCCTGCCTCCGTTTCTTGGGGTTTTTTCCTGAGTTGCTGCCGGAGGTGGGCTCACTCTGGGGCCCAGGTGCCCTCAGCCCGTCTGTCCTCGCACCCCTCCAGGGGTGGGGCTCTCTCGGTCGCACTCCAGGGGCTCGGGGTCCTTCCCAGCAGCAGGTCCGGCTTAGGCTCAGAGACTGGCTGCTTTGCCCCGTGGGGGTTGTTACCTGGGAGAAGGGAGCACTCCAAGTCCCCCGTGTCAGGTCCAGGCAGTAGCTGGGGCCACTCCCATGTGCTCATTCCACTGGGAGCGAAGACGGGTTTCACGTCCTCGGTGGCTGGAGCTCGGCTTC